GGACAATCACACATTTTGGGGGTTTTATGATTACGCCGAAGAGGCCGGTACAGAACAATTCCCGTTCGCCACATTTGTTGGTACCGTAGCTAGCATCGGCTTCATTGGCAATATTCTGATATTTTTCATGACCTTTCATAAGAATATATCCCAACATTCCTATGCTATTTATCTCCGGGTTACAGCCATCTCGGATACCATGGTGTTACTCCAAACAGCAACTGAAGATATCCTAGATCATCTGGACCTTATACATTCTTTTCATCAGATGTCTTTTCATTTCTGTAAAGTATGGATGGTATGTTACTCCTTGTTCCGAACTACTTCACCCTGGTTTGTTGTAGCCTTATCCTTAGATCGAGGTATTGCGATTTGGAAACCGTTACATAAAAGCCGATACTGCACCAAGAAGGCTGCGTGGGTGACGTGTTTGATCATTGGCTGTGTAACATTTGGGGGAACTATGGCAGTGCTCTCAGAAGCTCTTGGGGACGAAGGAGTCAGCAGAAGAGCCTGCGGAGAAATATTCAGTGACGAAGCATTGGAAGCAGGGACATATTTCAACCTGTTTCTACAATCAACACTACCGTGTGTATTTCTGCTCATTTTAAACATTATGGTAGCTATCCAAATTATTAAAAGTCTGAAATTTAGAAGATCCTTTAACACTGTAGACAGCGACATTACTCGAACCGCGATACGCGCAACCCTCCCACTGATATTAATATCAGTGTTGGCGTTTGTTACGTTGCTGCCCGTATCCATAATTGGTGTGTATGAAATGGGTAATATACTCACTCGAGGAGAGGAATATGAGTACTCTTTTCACAGGCACACGGTCGATACTGCATGGTCAATCTGCAACGTAATTTATTTGATCAACTTTGCTCAGAATTTCTACATTTTAATTGGGAGTTCAAACCAGTACAGTTGTATCATACGTGACATGGTTTGTAAATGCAGTTACCGTGCCGAAAGACCCACAATTTACGGTCCCAAGCCAACCCCAGCACACCCTCAATTAAATCATATTTAAATTGAACTTTGCATACAGTAGCTTTTGTCTACGATATCACCTTAGGTGGGAGTGGACGTAAAACTCCAGAAACGAACGAACGTCAGTAGCTGTGTAATTGGGGTCATTACCTACAGTAATACACATCAAGACCATATCCCCATAGCAACTATGGTTATTCCCTATATCAACCTTATGTAAATTCAATAGGGGTCCATACTGAGGTAATATGCGTTGAATTTGATGCGCAGAACCCTAGGACGTTAAACCCCATTTCATTTATGTCAACGTCTGCTATATATATAAAAGTTTCTAAATTCAACTCCCGGGTTTATATACCAAAAATATTAAGATTTGGATGGAAAAATCTGTGTCGAGTGAACCTTAAAAACCCATTTCTCTCTCTCTCTGATTATTATTGCAACCTTCAACAGTCTTTAAATGTTTTGTTACACTTGGCACAGTTGCACAAACAATATTCCAGCATTACAGTCTTCACCAAGGGTGTCAGTCAACATATTGCGAGATAGGTCTGCTCGTCAGAAATTGTGATAAAGAATTTAACACGTTTGTAGTTAAAATTTGGCGAGTTCGTTAAATGCGCCGATTAGGTGTAAACTTGTGGCTGTACAAAGTTGAAAAGAAACATGTGATGACTTGAACAAATAGCACCTGAAGATGATTTGGCAATTTCGGAGTATTAAAATAAATTGAAATTATGATATGTTTGTGACTTAATCAAAAGTTATAATTAATGTTTAATAAAATATTTTATTTATTACAACTTAATTAGTTTAATTATTTCTGAATTTACATATTTACTAAGATCTTTCGGCCTTACGACGTCTTCATAGTCAAGTGAGAATCCATCGGCTTATTCTTAGAATATTGAACATACACCCTCTTATTAGTACAACGCTTCGGATTAAAGTTTTAAAGGGACAATAACACTCTTGCTGGCTTGACAGCTCCAGAAAATAAAAAATAGCCTTATTCTAAGGACTAGATGTGTTAGTTTCCCAAATGTTGTGTAAATTATCCATTAAATCCTATTTTGCTAGTCCAAAGGGTTCAAAAATATTTTTAAATCCAAGTCACATTTGAAAAGCTTTACGTCAGGCTTTTCAAATCATGTACTTGAATTTTTCCAATTTGTTAAATTAGGTGTGTTAAGATTGTTAAGACCAGAATAAAGATTAGGACATATTATTCAGTTACAACAAGAGTGGTATTGAGCCTTTAATAATAATCCTTTTTTTATATGGCTGACATAGTATACAGATATTACTTTCTGATGTTTAGTCATGTCTTATCACATCTCCTCGAAAAGTCTTTTTGCTGCACAGTTCATGTACATTATAAATATTTAAAAAATTAAGCGGTTTTCAATATCTCTTATTCAACTTTTATATCACTGTAACCCGGGTATCTTTTAATCTTGTCTATCTAGCACTAATTTCTTTCGTATTCATTTAATATCAAATCTTCGTAAAAATTGTTTAAAATCACGAAAAATTATCTATTTTGTACTTGTGTCCAGTTTAAAGCTGACCATTCAATTATGTCGAATTTACATGCGTTTAATTTCTCGATCTCTGTTAAAAAAATAAACAACCAAATTGATTGTTGATGTATAATAATTAATTTTTGAACAGTGGTAAGGATATTAAATACTTGTAAATTGAACACTCATTATCAAAATTAATTAGTCAGCTTTAAACTAGACACATGTACAAATTAGATGGTTTGGGGTGATATTAAATTATTTATACGAATTTTTAAACAAAGATTTGACATTGAATGAATGTGAAAGAAATTAGTGCTAGATACACAAGATTAAATGATACCCGGGTTATAGTGTATAGTTAAGAGTCGAAACATTAATTACGATTTCCTGCAATTATATTTTGCCTTATTACACTATTTTGCCTATACCGTTTTTTTTAGGACTTCGAATTTTGTCTAATGGTTTGGATTGTTCGTACTTGGTTTTATTTTATTCAGACCGAGTTTAGAAACTAAGAGGATTAAAAGTTACTTAGCGCCGTCTCTCTTTATTCACTCACACAGCTGTATATACCAGCACCCGAATTAAACGTCAGTTGTTCTTAAAAGTATAATTTCCCTTTTGTCTTAAGCCTAAACTATATTTTGTCTATTTTAATATTTTAATTGTCTTATTGTAATATTTTAATTGTCTTATATTTTATGTATGTTACTTTATATTTGAGGGGCAAATAGAATAGTCTCTAATATTGAGCGTACAATGTTGGTACATTCTAAAGACCACATAATTAGTGCATGCGTTAATAATGAAATCTTTGGTTTATTAATAATATCCACGAGCGTATTGGGTGACATATAAACGATGTACAATGTTCCAAGTCGACATTTTATATTTCTTATTGTTATAGTAATATGTATTTTGTATTTTCTTTATTAATTATTATGCGTTTAATATTATGTGACTCACTCACACTGTATATACCAGCACCCGAAATAAATGTCAGTTGTTCTTAACAAACGTATTCTTTTTCTCTTGTTTTAGACGCTCCAGTACCACGGTCACCCCGTAACGACATCATATCGTCATTATATTTAGCATTGCTGTGGGACAAGGGTTTCCTGTTGCGCATTATCGGAAGACACCCCTAGGATATATAATTTTTCCGAGGCACATTATTTCCAACGGATTATCAAGGTATCCTCGTGTAAGGACGATAGATAAATGGAAATAAAAAAAAAACCGTTCTCATGGCCAAGAACACTGAAAACGTCAGCCAAAAACACGTGTTTGTTTCTTTTTTAAAGGCTCTGTACCACTCTTGTTGTAACTGAATAATATGTCCCAATCTTTATTCTGGCCAACAAATTGTACTATTTTACAATATTCCAATTAATTGATGATACAAATTTCATCTTAACACACCTAATTAAAAAACTTGGAAAAATTCAACTAAATGATTTGAAAAGCTTGACGTAAAGCTTTTCAAATGTGACTTGGATATAAAAATATTTTTGAACCCTCTGGACAAGTAAAATAGGATTTAATGGATAATTTACACAACAGGTAGGACACTAACACATCTAGTACTCAGAATAAGGCTATTTTTTATTTTTTGGAGCTGTCAAGCCAGGAAGAGTGTTATTGTCCCTTTAACGTAATTTTATACATATTAATATGGCCCGAAGAGGTTCAAGAGAATTAAAAACATGAGTTTATTTCTATTTTAATGTTATTTTATATATGACCCGAAAAGGTTCAAGAAAACTAAAATCTTTGGCAAAAACATGTGTTAATTTCTTTTGTACCGTAATTTTATATATTGGTAAATCCAGCTTATTAAGAAGTGGCTATTGCTGCTAAAAAGGTAAATTGTCGTTTGGAAATGAACCGGGGTTTAACATTCTACCGTTCGGCACCAACCCATACTAATGAACACTTAAAACGTTGGCTGGATATACAATATTTGCGACGGCAATATATAACCCCATAAAATCCTGAATTACCAACACCACTCACGAACAGTTTCAAATTTATAAATTTAATCCACCTGTTCAGCTATATGACATTGTTAAATGTTTTTACCTTTCTTATGCCTTCAAATGAAAATAACCTTAATTAAATCAAACCTCTCCGAAATATCATGCATACTGTATTGGGCATTAAAATTGGTTGACTGTAATTTGAGTTGCAGTTATCAAACATCCATATGGTACCACATGTGTGTGTGTGTGTGTGTGAGAGAGAGAGAGAGAGAGAGAGAGAGAGAGAGAGAAATGGGGTTTAACGTCCACTCGACACAAACTAGGTCATTTCGGGACTAACATATGGTTTAATTTTATTTCAATAATTCGCTTGAGCGTAGTTGTCTTTAGCAGTGGGAAGAAACCGGAGGATCCGGAGAAAACCCACGAGGTTGGACAGGCGACCCTATCCTTGTCACATTAAAATTGTAATAAACAATAACAACAATAAAAATACTACACAGTACACACTTGTAATGGAGGCATTTTTCAACAGTCTGAGAATTTGGATTCAAACAACAAAATAATATGATTATAATATACAAAACAGACATTTTTTATGATCATATCTCTTTACAATCTGTACATTTTGACATAATTTCAAAATTATAATTTTCCACTTGTACGGTTATATACGAGAAATTAAATTCGGATTTTAATTTTCTGGTGGCTGTTTCCATTATGTCGGGGTTATCAAATTCTGAGTCTGAAAAAAATGATTTTTAAAGTGATTTAATTAAAGGCGAAGTCATCGTGTTAAAATGGTCCCATGAAAAATGCCCCTTTTAAGTACAGTACGCATATCAATCTCCAAAATGTAGTACTAAAAAGAAAGATTATGTACTGTGTTTGAAAATGTAATCCCAAATAATGGACCGTTTGAAAGTCGATATATTTTTAGTCATGCCTGGAAGGGCAGCCAAATCATAGAATGGCATCAACTCGAAAATCAAACATCATATTGCCATCGATAGATTTGGACAACGAACGAACAAATGATACCAGTAGAACACCCGTCCACAAATCGGAAAAGGCAGATCACCGACCGGCCACGACGTTGTTAAATCCGTGCTAGTCCGGCTACCCTCAAAACACCCCGAGTTCTGTGTTCCAGATATCTTTCTAACAATGCAAATTATATAATTTCATCAAAATGATCATTTTCAAGCGCGGGGTTATAAAAGAGAGATAACCCTTGTTTTACCATGGACAGTTATTCCCCCTGGTATTTCCCGCCATAATGGACACCCTAGTCTACTCGGACCTAAACTATTCCAAAAGACGCGAAGATGAGAACATGGGTGTCGATTAGACCATGTTAGATATTTGAAATCTCGAATGGTAAAGTGTTATACCCTGCCTTCGTAATTATTTATAGTCAAAGGGCAATGGCTTAGATTTGGATATCAGTACAGGGGCGGATCCTGAGACAATGTATCTCCCCCCCTCCCCCGAATGGTCTCTATCGTCATTTTGGCGTATGTACATAAACATTGAGCTTTTTAAACAGAGAAATTCAACACCTCGTTTGATGTCAATTTTTATTATGAATTAATACAATGACTTTGTCATTCCATTCATGGATGCAAAGCACTAATTGTGATATCGCATAATGTCTATATCATTATCGCGTGGTTTGAGTGCCCATCCTGTCCCACATCTGACGATAAAGGATAAAGCACACGTCCGTCCGAGAAACTTTTCTTATAAAAAGTACTGATGTTGTTGTTAGTTAGTTGTATTTTGCGTCCGCTTCCACCGAAGTGATATCGCAGACAAGAAAAAGTACTGATTTACAAAAAAAAATAATGTAGCTGAGCAGAGGGGGCTCTAGATCCGCCCCTGCAGTATTTCAAACTATTTGATCGATTAGAAATATAAATTTACCTTTGGCAAGATGAACTGTTACAGCATTACGCCCAACGGTCAGAGGCCAGATATACAGACTATGGACCATTTTAACTCCTCTTATAGACTCTAATTCACTTTTAATACTCTCAAAACTAATCCCGTGGGGAACAGCTGTAACATATTATTACCCAGTGTAGAATTTAGCATACAGTAGAATTTATATTACTTGTATAAAGTAAAATTTATTATAAAACTGGCAGGAATAATTAGGATTTGGGATTGGTCTAACGTTACTAGTCAGACTAACAATCATAGTACAATCGTCGGATCGAACTCGTGAATGTGAATCTGTCTAACCTTGTGGGTTTACTCCTGGCCTTTCGGTGTCCTCTCATTGCTTAAGACCCCCTACAAGCAAGCGAAATATTGAAATAAAATTGAACCATGTGTTAGTCCCGAAATGAACTAGATTATGTTGAGTGGACGTTAAATCCAATTTCTCTCTCTCTCTCTATCCTTCTCCTTTTCTGTGATGCATACAACTAACAACATATTAGGCTACTCAATGAAATGTTCCCACATGTGTCATGTGATACGTAACGATAGGATTGTCCCTAATGAGTCCACGATCTGCTACGCTGAGATACGTTCGGATACGTTACGATACGACCAAAACGATCACTACGACTGACTTCATGATAAGACCTGACAGGATCACCACGATTACGCCACGTTTAAAACCACGATTTGAATCGTAGCACGAATCGTTATAGTGGGAACCTAGCATAAGTCAATACGAAACTATATGGTACTTACCTTCTAAGATTACCCGTATACCATCTCTAGCGATGTTTATTGTTGTAAATAAGACTATTATTGAAAATATAAAGGTACAAATGGGATCAGCAAGACGATATTCTGGTTCAGTCTGGAATGATATTTTAAAAAAAGAAATTGTTCATATAATATTACAATTATTTAAATTAGGACAATCATTGGTTACAATACTATAAAATTATACGTGACCCTATTCATCGAAAAATTGGGGGGTTGGGATAGCCTATGTGTTGTCTAGAGTGTCACGCTTCGAGCTCTCGCTGGCTGATCACCTCAAAGGAATTATTAGTGAGCAGAAATTCGCCTGTGAATCTGTTATCACTCGCCACTTCAGTTAGTTATATAGAAGGATAACGCATCTATCGTATCAATGATATCTGTGTTAAAATTATATTTGGAACGTGTATAAAAAGTTCTATCATATATGTGTTCATGACTGGCACCGATATTGTCCTTTAAAGGGACAATAACACTCTTGCTGGCTTGAAAGCTCCAGAAAATAAATAATATCTCTATCTAAGTACTAGATGTTTAAGTGTCCTACCTGTTGTGTAAATTATCCATTACATCCTATTTTACTTGTCCAGAGGGTTCGAAAATATTTTTAAATCGAAGTTTCATTTGAAAAGGTTTACGTTAGACGTTTCAAACCATTATGTTGAATTTTTCAAATTTTTTAAATAAGGTGTGTTAAGATGAAATTTGTATCATCAATTAATTGAAATATTCTAAAATAGTACAATTTGTTGACCAGAATAAAGATTGGGACATATTATTCAGTTACAACAAGAGTGGTATTGAGCCTTTAATCACCGACAGCTTACCGTTAGTTTTATAATTTACCATCAAAAGCTTACTGTCAGTTTTAAAATTTACCATCGACAGCTTATCGTCAGTATTATAATTAACCATCGATAGCTTACTGTCAGTTGTATAATTTACCATCGTCAGTTTTATAATTTACCATCGACAATTTACCGTAAGTTGTATAATTTACAATTGTCAGTTTTACAAATTTTACCATTGACAGCTTACCGTTAGTTTTATGATTTACAATTGTCAGTTTTAAAATTTGACAGCTTACCGTTAGTTTTATAATTAACGCCGCAATAAAAACTCCTAAACTCTGTATGATGTCACCCACACAATGAATAAACGCAGCCCTCACGTTTATGTTTTCCGTACTAGGCGGTGATTCTTCCATGGGCTCATATGTCGCGTCACTTTCATTATTCGTACCATAAGATGCATGAGAATATTCCTTGAACGGTGTATGAGAATGACTATCACCTGGACTGTGAGAATGGTTATGACCAAAATGAGAATGTTTAACATTGATGTGTAAAACGCCCGCCATTCTGGAATAAAGCATACACAACAAAATGTTAGCTACATTGAAATAAAACAAAAGAACGACAAATTCCTACGTTCATCTTCCTGATGCAACGACTGCGAGTTTTACAACATCTGGATAAAATGTACGCAGTTAAAGCGAGATCAAGCCTTCTATTGAAGTTGTACGTTCATTAAGTTCCGAAAAACAAACAATACTACTGATTACACTAAAACAGCGAAAAACATTCTGGAATGTGGAAACAGACTAGTGTGCCCCTTCCCATCTACATATCAACCAACAGCTTTAAAGCGAGAATTTCATATTTTTTTTAAGAAACTCAAAACATAATTATTTCTATAATTATTGCTCGATAGGTTGTCAACTCACTATTTTACGATCGTAGGTGTCATTCTCACACTTAAAACTCATTTACACCGGAAACAATAACACAATTACCTCCCAATTACCTCCCTTGTTTTTCTATTCCCCACCATGGAATAGCTATCTTCAAACGTTTGAATTTAAAGTTGAAAATGATATCTTTGCCAATTTCTCAACTGGCAATAGTGAATTATAGGATTAATAGGATTATTCTTGAACAAGGTAGGACTGTTTATAGATACCATCTATTTTAGGGCTTTATTTTAATACATTTTAAAAAAAATAACTTAAAAATATGAAATTGTAACTTTAAATTCAATGTCAACAAATTTTAAAACTCAAATAACTCCGTGTAAAACACCAAGAATTCTGTCAGGGTTTTTCATAATTTGAACGTGAGCGGGAGATAACTACGCATTTGTGTTCGGAAGATTCTGAATTTCGATAGTGTTCTTCCTTGTGACTGGTGGTCGCCATGTAAATGAAATAAAATGGGGATTAATGTGCTATTGTTCTGCTCCGTGCACTTCACTGTACAAGGGACTTCGTTGTTTCGTCCCATCCGAACGACTAGACAGCTGTCCTTGTCAGGGGGAACAAGGGGGGACCACGCCAGAAAATCTCGATGTACTTTCTCAGCCAACACATGGGCAGTGAGTATGCCGTTGGCTCACTAACTAGATTTGACCCAGTTGTTGGCGGAGAAACTTTCTGTTTTTTATATAAATTAGAGATTCAACATTTAAAATATTTAAAATCCATCATCTGTTTCCTATTTTGGACTGATAGTCCTTTTAGAGAATTAACTTTTACAATAGTTTAATTTAAAAGGGTTTCAAAATAAGTCAAACAACGACCAGCTGTTTCCCAATCTCGGCTCCCAGAGATATGTTTACCATTCATTTATCTCTTGTAAAACTTGCTGCTCATTAATCAGCGTGAAATCGGTTCCTTAGCACCACCCCCAGTGGCTACTGATTGGCAGGATTTGTTAGAATTTAGTGCTGTCGATTTCAAAAAGACCGGCGAGTTTTACCAGAGACAAACAAACGAAGGGTGAACTTATCTCCCCACACTGATCCGCAGTGAATATTTGCTTGGCCGCGACAATCACTGATAAGGATGACATTGATGCGGCTTAATGAGCTAGAAATATTAACTTTTTTCCTGCGACAAATTAAATTCTAAAACATTTTTTGTATATATTGGAAAAATAAATAAAGGCGTTTGACGTATTTGTAGTTAAAAATTATTTCCGATTTAGTGTAAATGGGTATTAAAATGATTAAAATGCAGCATTCTCTCCGAAGCAGTTATGTCTTATGTAAACAATGCACGCGCCATTCAGCCAATGATTCACACCGCGTGCTGTGACAGCACGTGTTAAGGCAGTCATCTATGACAGAGATATTATACGAGACTCGTAATTCTCTGTGAAACAGATTGTTATCTCCCATACCTCGGTTTCTGTCTTGTTACCCGCCGCATTTTTGCTAATTAGACCAAAACATAAGAAGTTTAATACATGTACTTACATTAAGTTAAAAACAACACCGAGACCAGCCGTTATCAACATTTCATCTGCCTTCACATCTTTATAGTCTTCATGTATGATTCTTAATGTAGCAATATAACACAGAATACCTGATACCATCCATATAAATAATACACTGAATAAAGCTCCTACCACTTCTGTAAATTCAAATTAAAGTGAAGCGGAGTTTAAAGTATGCCTTGGGAAGAATTCAAATTCGAAATGAAATGAAATGAAACATAGCGTAAAGTCCCACTCCAGGCAGTGCTCTATTGGAGATTCAAATTCAAAATGAAATGAAATGAAACATAGCGTAAAGTCCCACTACTGGAGATTCAAATTCAAAATGAAACGAGGTTTAACCTCATATTTTGGCGGACACCAACCGTCTTATGCAGGCGGTAATATCTCATGCAGTATGCTATTGGTGACACTTTGCCCGGGAGTTTTTCGCCAAAATCTCCATCAAATGAAAAACTGTCGGTTTTCGTGCAGGACAACGGTTACACTGGTAGATCTCAGTTTTTCTTACATTCCGAACTAGACCCGTGATCGAGTGTTGGGACAACTCATAAAAAAAACAGAAACTGTCTCCGCCAACAACTGGGTCAAATCCGGGACCATCTGGTTAGTGAGCCAACGCCATACTCGCTGAGCCACCGTGTTACCCAATTCAAAAGGACCGAGTAAAGATCAGCAGGGGAAAGGGACACATGACGTAATATCACGCTGCGTCAATCATTTGCTCTTGTTTACATAAGACATTACTGATTCGAGCAGAATGACGACTTTTACTTATTTTAATACCCACTTACACTAAAATAGAAAATAACTTTTACCTACGGATACTTATTTATTTTTCTAATACTTAAAAAAAAAATGTTTTAGAATTTAATTTGTCAGAGGAAAAAAGTTAATATTTGTGGCCCATTAAGTCGCATCGATGTCATCCTTATCAGTGATTGTCGCGGCCTAACGAATATTCACTGCTGATCAGTGTGAGCGACACCAGCGCCGAGTTACAGATGCCTCCGATAACGGTAATATAAAATTAAATTTAAACATAATATGTTTCTTTATATAGTGCATTAGCGCGCTGAAAATATTTTTTTCTCATTTTTTAAAATCTTAAAATCCATGTAAATTATAAACGAATTTGACACCATTTTTTTCGAATTGATGTTTCTTTCTGTGGTTCAACTTTTACAATAATGTAATTTTTAATGGAGTCAAAATGTCTCAAACGGCTTTAATGGAATTGGACTACTTCATTGGAATTAACACAGTAATTTCCGCAATCTGCTGAGCCTTCGATGATCTCCTATCATTGCATGTCAATCAGGCCCGGAAATTACCTAGATAAACGTAATGAAGTGATGCTGAATCTGTGTTAAGATTGGTCTCCTATAGTCATGTTCCTTAGCCTAAAAGGTCGCGAGTACACTTATATAACGACCCGCATTGTCACCACCAAGGAGCTAAATTACACGCTTTCAACAAAGATTCCACAATTTGACCATTTTTTGGTACTTATCAGACTCAATATTTGAGGTTATTTTTAGAAACATATTTTTATGTTGTTAGAACAGTTTTCTTAAGATATTCAACAAAGATCCCACAATTCGGCCATTTTTTGTCACTTTTCCGACGTACTATTAGAGGCGATGCACAATCTTTATAGACATATTTTCGTGTTGTTTAAAAGATTATTATGACGAATTGTGCTTACTTTTTTGATATTTTTATCGGTTAAAGAATACTGAAAACGTTAGTTCCAAAAAATGTGTGTTTGGTTTTTTTTTCAACGCAACCCCCTAATTATTATTGCATTATATATTTTCCTTGATATCACAAAAATTCATGCACCAATTCTCCAAGATGTACTTTAATACGGTAGTTCATGGATGGGTATATATCTGCATTTTTTAGATCTCCTCTATTCAAATGTATGAAATAAATCCGCCAACAAAGTCAATGTGCTGATGGATACACGTTATATGTATTTTCTTTAAAATGTGTAAAAAAAGTCACCTAACACAGTCAAGGTCCTTGACATTGTGCAGATGGATAATGTGGGATTAAATTGTAAAATTGTAAAAACCCTGTGTGGTTTCACCGTTTTATTAATATCTAGAAGGTTTTTTTTTTAAATGTAACTTCCCTATGTCATTAATACCATATAGAGATTTCTTTCATTCCTAAAAAGTTGATAAATGAAGTAATTAAATTCCGTAATATTTTTTTAAGTTAGAAAATGTGGTTTATATTTAATTCAAATAAAAAAAGGTTTATCATCTACTCTGGGATTACATTTCAACCCTGCTGAGAATTTTATGGGAAATGAAATTTGATTTGGTATCGAACTGAAAAACGTTATATTTTGTTCTCCCATTCCAGAAGTTCAAGATTGAAGAAAGCTGCTGTTTGGCCAAGGTTTGATTTTGTATCAAATTGAAAAAAGGTGGGGGGTTTTTCTCCCATTTCAGAAGTTTAAGATTGAAGAAAGCTATTTGGCCAAGGTTATTTTTTCAATGGCTGTATTTAGTTATTTTGATCAATGATTCGTCATGTTTTGTAATCATGAGTAAATCATGGTGGATTAGTGGGAGAACGCTAGATCGGAGACGGTCCTGTACATATGACGTCATATGTGGACTGTGCGTTAGGGTTAGGGTAAGGGTTAGGGTTGGAGCTAGTCCCGTGTACGTCTTCATTTTGACTCAATCTGCATGTCCTAGCCCCTATCCAAACCCTAACCCACAATCCATTATGACGTCATATGTGCTAAAATGTGCAGGACCGTTGCCGATCTAACGTTCTCGAGGTATGGTCGGCCTAGGCTCATGAACAAGGAGCTCTGAGGTTTGATCTTAGTGTAGGTCAAGAAGATTCCTCAGGAGGGCCCGTAAGGAAAAGTGTTTAGTCATTCTGATGGGATGGAAAACCAAGATCCTGCAAACACCATTGGCCACACATTAAACCCAATTTTATGACCCGATAATCACAAATATTCGATAATTTTTGCATTTCTGGTCAAGAGTAAATTAAGTACAGCAGGCAAAATGCTATTATTTATTATTTACTGAAAGCACCAAAGAACAAAAAATACAGCATGGGTGTGAAACTATTATTTTTTATTATTATTCTTCTGTTTGGAGCCACGCGTGTCTATTCTTTCAGATCCCATATTCTTCTCCTGTTGGGATTTTCAAGCGTGAGTGATGCACGAGTGTCTAGTCTTTCAGATCCCATAAACACGTTTATTTCTCTGTTTGGAGCCACAGTGGCTCATTGCGTTGACCGAGAAAGTTTCACGGGATTTTCCAGCGCAATTTCGTCAGTGATGCGCGGGTATGAGTATCTAGTCTTTCGGAGGGAATGAGAAAATTGGGTGTGCACGTAAAGGAACGTTTGACAGTTGGAATTCGATAACGATTAGACGGAAGCGTCACTGCCTGGGCAAAATTTCCCTCCTTTCACACTGCCTGGGCAAAATTTCCCTCGTTGCACACTCCGTGGTTTCATTAGCTCGGTTTCATTTACTGCTTATTGCTGTTACTTTTCGTTCCCATTTTGCTCATATCGCAAGAATGACTTGTCTTCGATGAAACCCGTCATAACTGCGTCACAAAATCGGGTTACATCTAATTTGGTGTGAGAGAGAGAGAGAGAGAGAGAGAGAGAGAGGGGTAACGTCCACTCGACACAAACTAGGTCATTTCGGGACTAAGATATGGTTCAATTTTACCTCAATAATTTGCCTGCGCGTAAGGGTCTTTAGCTGTGGGAGGAAACCGGAGGCCCCGAGAAAACCCGCGAGGTTGAACAGGCAACCCTAATCCCTGTCACGTACAACCAGGGAATCGAAACCACGCCAGCTGACCCAATGACAAAGCCCACGCGCTAACCATTTGGCCATCCAACCCCCCAATATAAAATTAAATTAAAACATAATATATATCTTTATATAATATATTTCCTTACCAGCTCTGTGATAACCAAAAGACATGGTTCTTGACGGTGGTTTTTGTGAGAGATAAATGGCTAATAAACTAATTAAAAAACTAATTAAATCACTTCCTAGATGCAGGACATCGGTAAATAACGCTAAACTGTTGGATAAAACACCACCTGAAATAATAAATAATGTATAAAAAATGTAACCAATGGCGTGTTCGTTCCCTAAATTGTTTAACTTCGTGAGTTCTGCCATTATTGGCAATTGGTCTAAGAATAACGATGATTGCGGATTTTATTTCTGTATTAGAACATCAGAGGAATAAATTTAAATGTGAAGAAAGGGGGGGGGGCATCTGACATAATCTCTTGCTATGGAGAGAGGAAGGGGGCGGGGTGTATTCTGAAAAAAGACCGAAAAACACCGAAAGAATGTTTTATACTAATTACCGAAGAAAGCTGAAAAACCCTAAATACCGAAAAATCACTAAATACCGAGAAAGAAAGACTGGAGAAAATAACCCGAGAAAAGGAAAAACCGAGGCCGGCAGGCCGAGGTTTTTTCTCTCGAGGTTTTTTTCTGAAGTCTTTCTTCCCCAGCATAACCAAAGTAGATGACTTTATCTTGCTTATAAACCGTCTATGTTTACATGTACGCAAGATGAGAATATCCCAGAATTCCCGTAAGAAAAACCTTATATCATGGTTTCTTATGGAAAAAAAACCTCTACCCTGGAAGAATAACCCGGTACAGGTTTAAAGAAAAGCTTTCTGAAGAATAACCCCATATTTCCCTGTATACAAAGCCGCCCCGACTTTCAGACCGCAAGTTATTCCGGGCATATAATATACCCCAAAGATCAAAGAGATTTACCGTTACAGGTTTATAATGGTGGTTAATGGGTCACGTTTGGTCACACAAAAATGTAGTGGAGCACTCTAGGTTGATCATGGTTCACTCTAGGTCACGCATAAGACTTGGGTGGGTCATGGTCAGGTTAGGCCACTTATAAAAATTGTGGGGCACTTCAGTTGGGTCACTGGTTAGGGTTACGTTTTTTTCGGACGGAAACTTCTCCCGTTTACACCATTTAGTAAGCATGTTTTCATGAAAATCTATAGCATATTAGCTTGTGTTGTTTTTCAATTTTTGGGGTTTTTCAGATCCGGTATTTTCGATATTTTTTTTAATTTGTCAGTATGTGCTGGTTTATATTTGGACGACGATTCACAGAGTATTCTCAAACTTTTATCACGCTAATAATAACTTTGAGAGAATACTCTTCGAAATGTCGTCCAAATATAGTAGGTGTTTTTCAGACGTATGTGTTCAAAAAATGTTTTATCCCTTCAGGGGCAAGTCTGCGATTAGTAGCTGTTTTCATTAAGTATTTCTTTTAGTTTATTATTCGGTCCAGTTATTAAAAGCCTCGAAAGGATTATTCTTGTATTGTTGCCCAGCAGTTTCCCATATTTCGAGATGTGTGATACAAATTAACAAATTTTCAGTTAAAGCGGGAATTTCATATTTTCTAAGAAAGTCAAAACAGTAGGTTATGAACTCACTATTATACGACCATGGGCATTATTTCCCACCCTTAAAAATCATTGACACAGGAAATAATAACACAATTACCTCCCTTGTTTTCTTATTGCCTCCATGCATTAGCTACCTTCAAACGTTGGAATTTGAAGTTGAAAATGATATTTTTGCCAATTTCTCAGCTGACAATAGTGAATTATAGGATTAATAGGATTATTCTTTAACAAGTAGGACGGTTTATGGATACCATCTATTTTAAGGCTTTATTTTAATAAATTTTAAAAATATAACTTAAAAATATGAAATTGTAGCTTTAAAATAAGTAAATTTAGCGAGAAAATAAGTACACTCACCTATAGCTTCTACAACCATAAACAGCAGACACAGACATAAAACAATAAGAAGTTTGCTTTTAGCCACCTTTTTGTTACCAGTCTTCTCTTTGGAATGACAATGGAAAGTTTCTTCTGATGACATTTTGATGTTTGTTTGATGCGGATCCGGTAAATTACAGATATGGTAATATAAGTCCTGAAGAATTGGTCAGTGCATACGACGCAATTCTTGCACACGGCCACATAACGTTTACAGTAAAATATCCGAGAAACAACACAACACGATGCACACGCTCTCAACTTCAACAATAAAACTAGATATTTTCAATGAATTTTATGGCACACGGTCCTTGCAAACTAAACGTTTTAAAGTGAGGTATCCACATCCGACTGAGCAACACTCTATAGCATATCAGCCCAGCAGGCTTTACATGTTGAAATATATAGTGTTTGATATTGATTCAGGAAACTACTGTACAAGAACGTCGCCATGAACGTTGATGGTCAACAGATGGGGTACCTTAATCTAAGCTATAATGATTATTGTTTAAGCAATGAATACCACTCACTAGTATGATTGTAAGCGTCTATCGTCAGTATAATTATTAATATAACAACAATGAGAACGAGAGAGAACAAAACTAAATGTAAATAAATGTATTATAGACAATTAATGATAATGTAACTCTTATCTGTTAAACAATAAAAATATCTCACAACAGCTTAATGCGTTTTTACAAAAACAAATTAATTCAATCCCCGCCCCCTGTTGTTTGTGATCTGACGGAGTTTTCGGAAGGGGATTCAGCTTTGGAACCAATGGGAGGGGGCGGGGGAAGGAGACCTCCTCCATAAAATGTTTGAAAATCGCTGCCATTTGGTGGATTCTAACGTATTTCTTGGGTAAAAAAAGGGGTTTGCTTTCTTGAAAAAAAATCATGTTTGCTATATTGAAAAACAAATCACTGGACAGTGACAGTGATAATGAAAGTCGACCATATAATAAAGAAACAACACACGGAAAGACACAATTAACAAACAGGCCTACAATCTGATTAAAATACAGATCTGTATTTCGCTTCGGTTTTTTTATACTTTCGATGGTCTGTACTACATGAAGATATGACCGGTTGTAGTGTTAGGTCGCGTTGGAAGTCATACGAGCAGCTTTTAACCCTATGATTTCAGACATGTGATCAACCAATCAGCATTGATGTTTCTAGTGCATTACCCACAGCTCTGTGCACCACACGCCAAAAGCTCGCCGTAACAGACCGTTTTATTGGCTAAACCCTCACATCACCCAGAACACTTGAATTATAACAGCCTTTCCAGATCCCAGTGCAGTAAAGACCAGAAACACATATGTGAACTATAAAAAACGAAACGAAATAGGATCTGTGTTTTAATTAGACTGCTGTCAGTAATAAACAATGAAAAGGGAGTTATAGAGGGGCCATTTGTTTTTTTAATTTTGTTGTTTGTTGTTTATTTAGGTGTGGGGCTTGCGGGGGGAGGGGGGGTCTTCTAAATGTGTTTTCGGTATAGTGGGCTTATCCTCTCTTATTCTGTGCATTTTGGTGATTTTGAATGCCCTGATGGGGCGAGACTTATTAACGCTAAATTTTGAAGAGTTTCGATAATGTTACAATATACGAAATGAAATGAAATGGGGTTTAACGTCCGACTGTTCTGCTCCTATACTGGGCTAATGAAGACGGGCATACGCCATACAGTGTGCTATGAGGGAAATTTTGCCCGGGCAGCGGCACTATCGTCTACTCTTATATCGAATTCCAACTGCCAAGGGATCTTTTACGTGCATTCTAATGTATACACGGGACCTCGGTTTTTCGTCTCATGCGAAGGACTAAACAGTCGTCCTTGTCAGGCCCTCCGTCCTGCGTCACTGACAAGGGGGAACCACGCCGGAAAATCTCGATGAACTTTCTCGGCCAGGCTAGCGAGCCAGCGTCTTACCCACTTAGCCACGTGATCCCCGCTACAATATACATTGTATGAGCATTTGACTACTGATGAATCATAATGCCACTATTAGTGACTTACCTGCGGTGAAAATAGATTTAAAAATTATTGACGTATAAAAATTTATAGACGATCAACTAAACCAACTAATTGCATGATACGCACAATCGACCACGTGAAAAGGTATTATTGAAAAGCTGTCATTTGCACACGTAACTAAAATGCACCAATCTTTTGCCTCAGTGCGCATGCTGTTTATGTCCTTACTTCAATTAACATGTTTGCTCGCCATTGAAACAAACAAATCCTTCCCGAGTAAGGTAGTTTTAAATTACAGATTCCGTAAAACGTACGCCATTTTTAAATGTCTACAACTTTATTTCCGCCGACTTTCACTTTAACCATTCGAAAATATACATGGATCTATAGGTATACGGGCTCGATGACAGTTAGGGGGGCAGAACTCGATATGCTCGAAAAAATTTCGGGTTTACACATACAGCGGCGCCGATCTTCCTCGAGAGTCGAAGATGCGGAGCTTACCTTGTATTGTGACAGTATTGGTTCTTAAATCGGGTTCTTTGATGACAACACTGGTATATACATCTAATAATAGTTTTATTCTGCTTCTTACAATATTAGGTACAAACATCGTGATGTAAACGACCGTAGAACTAACTATATGGAAGGAGTCATGACTTAATTAGCTTGGCTTAGCATGAGTGTGCTAACTCCAGAAGCTGTCGTCTCGTACCGTCTCGTGCCAAGGCGCCCATGGCCTTAGCTCAGTCCTGGCCGGACCTAACTCCTAGCCCTGCCTGCACCTCTCTCGTATCCATTAGGTACCTTGATCTAGGCACCCGCCTAGCATGGCCTCCTGGACCCGCCTAAAGATTCGTTTCTGTTCTGAGTTTATAAACGTATTCGAGACAAAGGAGCTCATTAGACACCTGTCTAATGTATCAAGCATCATATGAAGGTTTAACATTCAATATAGTTTATCAGACAAAGAAAGTCAGATAAGACATGCCAACAACAAGTTATAGTTACGCAATGACATAAGGAATACTACCAAGATCTCCAGCCGGGTATTGATAGCGACAGGTTTATGTTACAATCACTAACACGTATTTTAATATGGCAGGACGCCTCTATGACATAAGTCATTATGTTATATACCTCTCTTTGTTTGAATAAAGTTATGAATTATATGAAATAACTTTTAAAGACTATTACAAAATTAGATACCTATGGAGTCGATAATTACTACTCTTATTAAGATATAAACAACAATAATAATAATGAAAAAATATATAAAAACAAACAACACTCGTAAAATGTCGTATACAAAAATGTCTATAAACAAAAAGAAAAGGTAAATGAAACACACACGAATTTAAAAGTTATATATACATGTAAAATGTCATAATATCCAAAAATGTCTTTAAACAAAATGAAAAGGTCAATGAAAAACACACGAACTTAAAAGTTATATACACACAATCGGTCACACACGCGAGTCAATGAAAAAAAAAACAAACGAGATCCTGGAATCACAAACACAGACTACTCTTATTATTCACATAAATGGTGGAATCGCGGACACAAACTACTCTAATTATCTTCTTAGACCGATTATTTGGTGGAATCGCGAACACAAACTACTGTAATTATCTTCTTAGACCGATTATTTGGTGGAATCGCGAACACAAACTACTGTAATTATCTTCTAAGACCGCTACTGCACTGTCGTAGCCAACTGTAGGGGTGGGGTACATATGATGCCCTTCCTCGTTCCAGTAATGTTGAGGGGTCAGAATATTCCCTGCTCCGTTTAGTTCAGCTCTTCTTATTGACCGGTAGTCTTTTCATTTTCCATACCGTCTGGCAAAACGGCGTGTTATGACATGTGCATATGAAGAGTATTAACTGCCACCCGTGCCGAAGTTTTATCATCTGCTTAACATATATATCATGGAGTGAACTTAATTAATAGTTAATCAAATTAGCAAGTGGAACAGATTTGACTTTAGATATCGATCTAACGATATTTACAGTATTATTTACATGGATACAATTGAAATTAGGGAGTCATATTGTTTTATCTCAAGAATAATGAATGATCTGAACACATTTAACCAATCTTAAATAAGATATTTTTGAAAGAACTAACGGTTTATCTCTATAATTTTTAAACACAACACAAAATAAGACGATACGTTCGCTCGTAAATCCGAGCACAACCCTCCTGGGGTTAAACCACTTAACATAAACTTCTCCCGTTACATATCGGGGCATTTCCCAATAAAACTTTGGGGTATTACAAATAAAACTCTCTACCGTAAATATCGGGTCTTCCCATTAACATTTGGGGTACTACGTTAAACACGAATAAAATCTTTCCCGTAAATATCGGGCCATCCCATTAACACTTGGGGTAATATACACGTATAGACAAAACAAATAAAAAACCTTAGAGATAAACGCGGTAAAACTGTGTGAATGTTATTGGGTTAAATTTCAAATTACGATACTGTTAACCCAATTCTAGTTAAACAATCACAAAACATTTTACTTTTCGATATTAACCTATTGATACTAATTTTAAATGCCAAAATATGTGTTCAAAACAAACAATTATAATTTATAATCTTTTAAAAACAACATGACCCATTGTAAAACAAACAATATATATACAATTTTGTTTTAGTCATTTTCCTACAAATAGTTAAGGACTGTTCCACTACTAGCTTGAACGTTATATTAAATTAAGTAACTACACCATGATATTTAATAAAGCGTGATGATAAACTGCTGATTTCCCAGTTAAATTATAATACATTATAGCACAATGTCATTATTAACCGTCGCCATGGTAGGATTTAGAAAAAGAATTACCTGTGAATACTAAAATCTGTGGCCTGTGGTCGTCTAGTGGTATAAGACTTCAAGCGTTGCTCTGGTCTACGGCATCAATTAATATGTGACAGTATTTGGTTCTTAAATCGGGTTCTTTGATGACAACACTGGTATATACATCTAATAATAGTTTTATTCTGCTTCTTACAATATTAGGTACAAACATCGTGATGTAAACGACCGTAGAACTAACTATATGGAAGGAGTCATGACTTAATTAGCTTGGCTTAGCATGAGTGTGCTAACTCCAGAAGCTGTCGTCTCGTACCGTCTCGTGCCAAGGCGCCCATGGCCTTAGCTCAGTCCTGGCCGGACCTAACTCCTAGCCCTGCCTGCACCTCTCTCGTATCCATTAGGTACCTTGATCTAGGCACCCGCCTAGCATGGCCTCCTGGACCCGCCTAAAGATTCGTTTCTGTTCTGAGTTTATAAACGTATTCGAGACAAAGGAGCTCATTAGACACCTGTCTAATGTATCAAGCATCATATGAAGGTTTAACATTCAATATAGTTTATCAGACAAAGAAAGTCAGATAAGACATGCCAACAACAAGTTATAGTTACGCAATGACATAAGGAATACTACCAAGATCTCCAGCCGGGTATTGATAGCGACAGGTTTATGTTACAATCACTAACACGTATTTTAATATGGCAGGACGCCTCTATGACATAAGTCATTATGTTATAGTATGCCCCCCCCCCCCCGCACCAAAGAAAATTTGGTGGATAAAATTAAGGTGGATAAATTGAATTCTAATCAATCGTTTACAGTCCACGGAGATGGGACCGTTGGGAGAAAATTTAACTGCCGCAAACGCGTTTTCCTGCGCTATTCCAGTCTGTGAATACAGCAACTTCAATCTGGTCCAATATAACATATCTGGCTGACCCGAATTCTAAACAACCAATCAATCGTCGGGGGGGGCATGGGGGCCTCACCCTCCCGGAGAAAATTTTGAAAATTTAACCACTGCAAATGCGTTTTCTGCTATTCTAGCCCGTGTAAGCAACTCCAAAAGTATCCAATGGTTTTGTAACCGAAATCCCATTTAGAATTCCAACCATCCAATCAGACTGTTGCAGCTGCATTCACAAATAATAATCGATGCCCGAAAAATGTCGCACAAAGTAGAGTGGCTCCAGACAAAATGTTTTAATCAATAATCAACTCAGTATAAATTCGTGGTATTCTATTAAAAGTAAAGTAAAATTAGTGTTTTTAGGGCTCGGTGACAGTTAGGGAAGCAATACTAGAATTGCCTGAAAAAAAATTTAGGTTTACAGACAGCGGCGCCGGTTTTCTTCGAGGGGCGAAGAAGCGGAGCTGAGCTTGTGTGGACCCCCCCCCCCCCCAACGAAAATTGTGGAATATTTGACGGTCGCAAACGACGCGTTGTACTGCCATTCCAGCCCGTAAAATTAGTGTTTTATTAGATTTCGGGCACTTTATTTTGCCAAGTAGATGAAATAAAAAAATTTTTTTCGCTTTACCCGTCTGCCCGAAAAGACATAGTTTTTGTCGAGTGGACGTTAAACCCCATTTCTCTCTCTCTCGGTACGTAAGGAAGGGATAAAGTGGGTGGGGATATGTGGACATGAAGGTTCGTTTTGCTTTTAAATCGGCACTGCTAACCATACTGACACGCAGTTATAAATCTGTTCATTCTGTCAGTTGGGATGAAACGTCCTCTCGACACAAACCATAGGTAGGTAATTTCGGGACTAACATATGGTTCAGTTTGATTTCAATAATTCTCTTGCTCGTAAGGGTATTAGCCTTGGGGGGCGGAGTCGAAACCATGCCACTTGACTCAAATGACAGAGTTTGTGAACTAATGTGTACACGTTAAACCATTCAGCCACCCAACCCCCTTATTTAGTTATAAAAGTGTAACACGGAGACTGTCCGTTTGGTCACGGTGCCTCAAGAAATGGTAGCGCTGATAAAGGTGTTAAGAGCAACAAATTAAGGAAATTTTCTCGGACGTGGTTTCCCCCTTGTCAGTCGTGCAGGACGGAGGGCCTGACAAGGATAGCTGTCTAGTCGTTCGGATGGTACAAAACACGTGTATACATTATTGGAATTCGATATAAGAGTAGGGCATAGTGTCGCTGCTTGGGCAAAATTTCCCTCACAGCACACTGTATGGCGTATGCCCGTCTTCATTAGCCCAGTATAGGAGCAGAATAGTAAGATTTGAACCCCATTTCATTTCATTTTATTTTACGTTTAAACTAAAAATAGCTGAAAATATACCAATTTTATTAGACATTGCCGCCAAATATTACAAAACATTTTTTATATAAATTCATTTCTGTACATATCTATTTAAAAAAAAAAAATCCAATAGCAGTAATTATACAACGGAGTAATTTAGCGCGGCAAAGTAACCATACTGATTGAATAGAATCTGGAATCCATGAACAAAAGACTCTATTTCTGCCTCGGTATCTTTATAAAGAATCCTGGAATATCATAGTCTTTGCGGAAGATCGCAATTTTTAAATCTGACACCTATTATAAGGACATGCATTTATACGGTTTTTGGTCATTTCTGTTTTGAAAGTTATACAGATACTAAGAAAGTAAATTAAGATTAAAATAAGAGTTTCTAAATGCCGAAGAATTGTGCTAATCGAATAAAACCAATCATACCAATTATTGGGACTATTTTACAGTATTTATTTGTGACTGATGTAAATACCTCAATGTAACGTTAAAATAAGACCTCCAGTGAAATGTTAAAAGCATATTATTTTCTATTGACGTGTATTTTACTTTAGTGCTTTATGTTTGCAAATATTTACAATAACGTCAAAATAAGGCCAATCTCAAGCGAAACGTTATAAACATATTAATTTATATTGACGTCGACGTGTGCTTTACTTTAATGCGTTATATGTTTGCAAATATTTATTATAACGTCTCCAGTAATACGTTATAACCATACTTTACTGTATGCTGAAATGACTGTGTTGTAATAAATATACTTTACTGTAGTGCGTTACAAGTTTGTAAATATTTACTATACGGCCAAAATAAGGCCAGTCTCTAGTGAAACGTTATAAACATACTCTACCGTATATTGACGTGTATTATACCTAACTTTACTGCTGTGCGTTACACTTTATACTATAACGTCAAAATAAGGCCAGCCTCCAGTAGTAAAACGTTATAATTGGCCTGTATTGTAATACACATACTTTACAACAGTGCGTTACAGTTACTATATAACGTCAAAATAAGGCCAGTCCCCAGTGAAACGTTATAAACATACTTTGCTGTATATCGATGTGTATTGCAATACATATACTTTACTGCAATGCGTTACATGTTTGGAATTAACCAACTGGGTTTTACTCAGGATGGGAGAATATTTACAATTATTTCAATAAATGACAAACAAAAATCGATTTTCTAACAAACAAAAACAAAAATATTACAAATAATAAAGGCTATAACAAGAAAACTAATATCTTATTAGGATTTACTGTAAAAAAAAATCACTTTTACAGTTAAACACCAGATTTCATTGAACCTTTAAATGCAAATATATATATATATATTGAAATAATTGTAAATATTCTCCCATCCCATATATATATACATGTATACAAAAAATATCAGTTGTATTTGTATTTGTATTAAAGATCTGGTCATAAATTAATACAATATAAATACAAGAATACAATATGAATACATTTCAGGGTATTTTTTAAGAATCAAAAGCACTGGGACAAACATTTTGTCCTCTTTTAAAGTTTCAATATCATTTTTTTTTTTGCATGGGATGGAATAGAAATGATGAACACATATCTTCTTATCTTGAAAAAATATCAAAAATATCCAACAGATCACTAAAACATTATTGGAACAAACTTTATAATACCAAATAGACCAATTATTACTTTGCCAAATTAATCTATATAAATTAATATTGTCTCTAGATTATATATTATATTACTTTTACAAACACTAAAAAATATATTACAATATAGATTACAAAATTACAATTTAAATTCATTTATACCATATAATTCATATTCATTTATACCATACAATTCATATTCATTTATACCATATAATTCATATATACCATTTAATTCATAGTCATTTATACCATAGAATTCATATTCATTTAAATACAATTCACCATGTTTGGTGCAATATAGCCCTGTTGGAGCTGACATGCCATAAAACTACATTTCATTCATTCATTCATTTAAATACTATCAACATATATTCATTGACACAATACTATATATATTTATTCAAACAATAACAATATATTAAAATATTTATATCACCATCGTTAACATCACGATGGACACAAATCATCAATAGAAATTACAATATTACAACTACATATGTTCATTCAAATATTATAATATATCAGGTTGCCCAGAAAAAACTAGTCTACTTTTTAAAATGAAATAATTAAAACATACGTCCACAGCAGCTAAATCGTCCGGGCAGTAAACAAGAGTTGTGCATATTTTTACTTTTTTCGGTAATGAAACATTTATAATACACTAAGATATGATTAAGAGCAACAACTCATGAAGTAATTATCAGAATACCATTAGAATTTGTTTGTTTTAATATCATGGATTTAGTTGTTCAAGTCATAAAAATTCACCCGTCTTCATTAGCCCAGGTTAGGAGCAGAACAGTAGGACGTTAAACTCCATTTCATTTCATTTCATAACAAGAGCATCGCTAACGCTGCAATATACGTCCACATTCCAGCTTTGATTGATATATGGTACCTTTTAAAATGAAGAGAATGAAATATGAAATTGCTGTAATATGATCAGAGGCAAAGAAGGCTAGACGTCGGGTTTGTTTTGCCAAATATCCAGAAAAATACTAACAATAAAGTGGGTGTGGCACTGCCCCAGGAGGTCGGGGCAAGCATCAAAATAAATAGTTGCTGTCTTTATGGTATAAGGAATAAATATGCAAAGTTCCAAGATGATCCATTCAGAATTGCAGCATGTAGACTATAAATACAAAAACTGGGCATGGCTCTGCCCGTTGGGGTTGGATATGGAAACAATATAAATAGGTACCATCCTGTTATTGAAATGACAACATCAATAGTTGCCATCCTTAGGGTATAAGGAATAAGTATACCAAGTTCCAAGATAATCCATTCAGAATTGTGGCCTTTGGGTGTTAAAGGCAAAAATTGGGCGTGGCTCTGCCCCGGGGGGTCGGGGCATTCACCAAAATCAATAGTTGATGCCCTTAGGCTATAAGGAATACAAATGCCAAGTACCAAGTTGATCCATTCAGAATTCCGGCCTGTAAATGATATAAACATAAAAATTGGGCGTGGCTCTGCCCCTGGGGGTCGTGATATGCAGTTGTCGTCTTTGGTTATAAGGAATACATATCCCAAGTTCAAAGACAATCCATAAAGAATCGTGGCCTGTAGGCAACTCACAGAGACACAAAGAAAAAATGGGTGTCGCTCTGCCCCTGGGGGTTGGGCAATCACCAACAAACAATTGGGGGCATCCTTAGGGAAAAGGAATAGGTATGCAAAGTTTCAAAAGGAAATGTTAAGAATTGCGGCCTGTAGGCGACACAAAAGGCACACAAATTTTGGGCGTGGCTCTGTCTCAGGGGGTGGGGCAAGCACCAATAATAATAGAGGTCAGCCTTAGGGTATAAGGAATAAGTATAAAAAAGTTTTCAAGATGATCGATTAAGCATTGCAGGCTGTAAGTGACATACAGACACACAAAAAGAAAATGGGCGTGGCTCTGTCCCTGGGAGCTGGGCATTCACCACAAACAATAGGGATGTTCCTTAGGATAGAAGGAGTAAGTATGCAAAGTTTCAAGGTGATACGCTAAGAAATGCAGTCTGTAGATGACAAACAATGAATAAAAGAAATGGGCGTGGCTCTGCCACTGGAGGTCGGGCATGCACCAAAAACAATAGGGATCATCCTTAGGGTATAGGGAATTTATATGAAATTTTTTCAAGTTGATCGATTAAGAATTGCGCCCTGTAGGCGACACAAAGACACACGAAAAGAAAATGGGCATGGCTCTGCCCCTGGGGGTTGGGCATGTACCCCAAACGATAGGGATGTTCCTTAGGGTACAAAGAATGTGTATGCAAGATTATAAGTTAAGAAATGTGGCCTGTAGACGACAAACAAACAAATACTAGAAATGGGCGTGGCTCTGCCCCTGGGGGTCGGGCATGCACCAAAAACAATAGGGATCTTCCTTGGGGTATAAGGAATAAGTATACCAAGTTTGAAGAAAATCCAGTAAGAATTGCGCCCTGTAGGCGACACAAAGACACACGAAAAGAAAATGGGCGTGGCTCTGCCCCTGGGGGTTGGGCATGCACCCCAAACGATAGGGATGTTCCTTAGGGTACAAAGAATGTGTATGCAAAGTTTCAAGATTATTAGTTAAGAAATGTGGCCTGTAGACGACAAACAAACAAATACTAGAAATGGGCGTGGCTCTGCCCCGGGGGGTCGGGCATGCACCAAAAACAATAGGGATCTTCCTTGGGGTATAAGGAATAAGTATACCAAGTTTGAAGAAAATCCATGAAGAATTGCGCCCTGTAGGCGAACCACAGACACACACACACACACACACACACACACACATACATACATACACACACACACACACACAGACAGGGGCGACGGCATAATACGTTCACATTATGAATGTGGACGTATAAAAATTCATTGAAAATCAATATACATGTTCGTCACAAGATCATAAACTCTGTGTATCAATCTGAAGTCAATCGGATGATAACTTTAGCCTTTAAAGCATCCCAAGATTTGCAAAGTGATCAAGGGCCATAACTTTGGCAGTAATTATCGGAAATCGTTGAAAATCAATAGACTTCTTCCTCTCATGTCCTTGAACGCTGTGTATAAATTTACAGTTAATCGGATATTAACTTTAGCCTCTAGAGCGTCCACAAGCAATTGTGGACGCCGGATGTCCGGCCGGTGGTCGGACGGATGGGGGCGAAGATAATATACGACCACATTTCAATGTGGGCATATAAAAAGTGTTGTACCTATATCATTTATATTTCACATGTAGTGGGGGGTTGGATGGCCAAATGATTAGCACGTGTGCGCTGTATCATAAGGTCTGTCATTGAGTCAACTGGTGTGGTTTCGAATCCCTGGTTGTATGTGACAAGGAGCGGGGTCCGCTGTCCAGAATGTGGGTTTTCTCCGGGTCCTCCGGTTCCCTCCCACTGCTAAAAGCCCCTTTGTGCAAGCGAATTATTGAAATAAAAGTAAACCATATGTTAGTCCCGAAATCTCTCTGTCTCTCTCTCTCTGCTTCAACTGGGCTAATGAAGACGAGCATGAGGAAAATTTTGCACGAGCAGCGGCACTATGGCCTACTCTTATATTATACTTTTATTTGAAGAATTTATATTTAAATTATATTTTTCAAAACTTGATTAGTGATTATGCAAAGGAGTGTTGAGGTGTTTAACTGGGTAATGACCAAAGAAAGCTGTCATCTGTTTTATTTAGTTCTTGGATTTCTGTGGTTTCGAATCCCCGGTTGTGCGGCACAAGGAGTGGGTTTTCTCCGGGTCCTCCGGTTTCCTCCCACTGCTAAAGACCCCTACGCGCAAGCGAATTATTGAATTAAAATTAAACCATATGTTAGTCCCGAAATGACCCAGTTTGTGTCGAGTGGACGTTAAACCCCATTTCTCTCGCTCTCTTGGATTTCTAACCAGTTATTTTGAAATTTGAATATTCATAACAAAACACAACACAAGTTACATATGGATATAACCACTTCTCTATTATTTAATAACAACAATTCATAACACATACGGGGGGGGTGGATGGCTGAATGGTTAGCGTGCGCGCGTGCGCTGTATCATAAAGTCTGTCATTGAGTCGACTGGCAAGGTTTCGAATCCCCGGTTGTACGTGGCAAGGAGTAGGGTCGCCTGTCCAACCTCGTGGGTTTTCTCCCACTGCTAAAGACCCCTACGCGCAAGCGAATTATGTAAATAAAATTAAACCATATGTTAGTCCCGAAATGACCTAGTTTGTGTCGAGTGGACGTTAAACCCCATTCCTCTCTCCCTCTCTCATAACACATACACTTAACTTGAAAAGGTGACTGTACGTGATGCGAAACGTTGTTACTAAATAATAGAAAAGTAGTTATATCCATACCTTGTATTGTGTTTTATTATGAATAGTTAACCTGCTTCATGATGTCATTTCAAGAAAAGTATGAATGTTGTTAAATATTTCATATAGGAAACAAAATATTATCAAAATACTTGAAAGAATATTTAAATGCAATAATTTAATGAAAATGCAAAATCTAAAAAATAAAACATGTGGATTGTGCTATCTATTTCATCAAAATTTATACCATAAAAACTCTGAAAAAAAATCTGTAATAAGGAATGTGGTGTTGTCGATTCTTAATTTAAAAAAAAAATTGAGCAGATTCCTTAAATTGAGCTCAAAATAAATTTAATGTTAGTAATGCCTGAACCATATCAATAGTAAAATGATATCAGTTGTTCTTTCGGTTTTAAATCAGGACACAAAATCAACTGATAACTGTCAACTGGCGTGGTTTCGAATCCCCAGTTGTACATGACAAGGAGTAGGGTCGCCTGTCCAACCTCGTCGGTTTTCTCCAGGTCCTCCGGTTTCCTCCCACAGCTTAAGACCCCTACGCGCAAGCGAATTATTGAAATAAAATTAAACCATATGTTAGTCCCGAAATGACCTAATTTGTGTCGAGTGGACGTTAAACTCCATTTCTCTCTCTCTCTCAACTGATAACTACTTTGTGGGTTTTCTCCGGGTCCTTCGGTTTCTCCCCATTGCTAAAGACCCCTACATGCAAGCAAATTATTGCAATAAAATTGATCCATCTGTTAGTCCCAAAATTACTTAGTTTGTGTCTCTCAACTGGTTCTAGCTATAAATTGAAATGTGGTATGCTTGTATCACTATCACCAATGTTAACTCAAATTGTTAATGGTCAGTGTGTGTAAAAATAGTATTCCTGTAAAAATAGTAAATGTATACATAAACTTAAAATTGTTTTAAGATAATTTTAGCGATGCCTATCTCTCATGCTTAATGAAGCTGGTTATTCAGCTCTGTTAAAGCAATGCAGTAGTTTGTGAGAACCATAATTTTGAATTCTGATAAGGTCTCAAATTTGTGTGTGCGTTAATTTCCTTTGTGTGCACGTACACTGACTTCATATAATTTTCTCTTCTGAGTATATTTCTGAGCAATGAGAAATAATCAATCTAGACAATATCATGAGCCCTAGCTCCATCCACGAAATGTACATACATGTAAAGGCAATATAGTTCTGGTATTTTGATTGTCTGTTTATATATATATATAGTGATTTTTAACTCATAACTACGGCCACTTTCACAAGCCAAGCCAGAATTATCAATTCTTCACTGTATAAAAAAAATATGTCTTCAGATTGTAAGGCAACAATAGATAAATATCAACAGCCATTGTCAGGAACAAATCCAGGCAAAGCCCAGCTTAGGCATGGGCTTAAAGGGCCCAGGACCAGGCCCCGCGGTTTAGGGGGCCCCGCGATTCATGGCAAAAAGGGAAAAAATTCAAATTCCAGATGAAAGTTTCACGGTTATCAATCTAGCGGCACGAGGGCGGATAGACTGAGCTATCCCCGATTAATTGTGTGTTACAAATTGTGTGTTACGTATGCATTCCATTAAAAAGGATATGAAATAATCTTTTCGCCGCGTTAGAGGCCCCGCAATTTTAGTCAGACTCAGGGTTCCGCTCCGGTTAAGCTGGGCTTTGAATCCAGGCTTTCTGTTTTCCGTGTTTTTATTAATATCTTTCATACCTGTCCGTCACAAAGTTCCAAATATGAGGTACTAGTTCAGCAGTGCTCAACATTTTGTCAGGTACAGTTAGAAACGATATTTCTAGTCCTGTATATCACTTAGAAGTCCCAGGCCATAACCCAGCATTACTTCTTGTTGACTGTAGTTCTAGACATTTCTTCCTGTTGACTGTAGTTATAGACATTCCTTCCTGTTGACTGTAGTTCTAGACATTCCTTTCTGTTTACTGTAGTTCTAGACATTCTTTCCTGTTGGTTGTAGTTCTAGACATTCCTTTCTGTTAACTGTAGTTCTAGACATTCTTTCCTGTTGACTGTAGTACTAGACATTCCTTCCTGTTTACTGTAGTTCTAGACATTCCGTCCTGTTTACTGTAGTACTAGACATTCCTTCCTGTTTACTGTAGTTCTAGACATTCATCACATGTTGTCATAGCTTCGTAATTATAATCTTCAACCTGAACAGTTATGTGGAAAAAGTCAAATTCTGATTTAAGCATTTTTGTGGCTACTTGAAGGATGTGTTGATGGCTAACCTCTTTATCTGAAATAATACAACAGTTTTTCAATAAATATTCCATAATAGAAAAGTGATTCTGAATCTGCTTAAGGCAACAGCTTTAGGTGCTGCAGCCCAGGGTTCTTCATCAACTGGAGGGGCTCAAGATATTAAATGAAGTAAAAGTTGGTCTGGACTGGATTAAGGCGATGCTGCCCAGGGTTTTCTGCCAGCTGGATGGCCCCTAGAGATTAATGTATGGTTATTTCAGTTGTTAATGCTGAATCAATGTATTATTGTATACTGCAATGTTTTAAATAGGACTACTGCTGTACATACATGTATATATTATAATAAGACCACATCTACACAGACCCACAGGTGGTCTTAATAGAAGGGTTTCACTGTTCTTAAAATTTTCTATTTAATTTATTGCGCATATTTGTACTACAGAAAAAAACAAACATTGCATTGTATACCAGAGCGTCCAGTCAGCAAACAATATCTAGATTCATAATACGTAACTGTCTTTTTAGGAGCTTTGTTGGTTACAAAACTTTATATAGCTCAAAATCTGAAGTTGTTCGATATATATATATTACATAACTTTTCTGATATGGTTGTTGATCATACACAGTGAGAGTTTATGGAGTGTTAAATTAATATAATGCCATTAATTTCTGGTAGGCTTATCAGTTAATTTAAGCATGGGTGGGTTGTATAGTAAATTCTGTTGTTGATGAAAACAGATTATTTTGTAAATAGTTTATTTATGAATAAAGATTATACTAAAGTGTATTTATGAATAAAGATTACATAGTAAATAGTGTATTTATGAATAGACAGGCATACACCATACAGTGTGCAATGGGGGAAATTTTGCCCTGGCAGTGTCAGTATGGCATACTCTTTTATCGAATTCCAACTGCCAAGGGATCTTTTACGTGCATGCCAATGTATACACAGGACCTCGGTTTTTCGTCCCATCTGAATGACTAGACAGCTGTCCATGTCAGGTCCTCTGTCCTGCACCACTGACAAGGGGGGAAACCATGCCAGAAAATCAAGATGAACTTTCTCAGCCAATACTGGGATGAAACACACGACCTCCAGGCTAGTGAGCCAGCGTCTTACCAGGACCACCAGAACTCCATATTTATGAATAAGATTATCTCTTAAATATATATTTACTGCAATATTTCTATAAAGTCAGGGTTTATCACAAAGCAAAGTTTTATTTTGAATAGTTTTATTGTTTTTACAACTTTAGTCTTGGACATTTATTGTTTACTGCAAAACCTATAATTAGTATAATTTGACTGATTATGTGAATATACATTTTAATTTATTTGTTTTTACAACCTGGGTCTTGTCTTTACAGATAAACTGATTATAAAGTCTTTATAAACAGCCTAGCTAACATTTGAATATAAAATAAAAGTAGAAAAATATCGATACAGCAAAACGATCCTACTGCAATATATGGATACAGCAATACCTACCTTTAGCTATATGAACTGTCAGTGCATTACGACCTAGAGTTAATGACCATAAATGGAGACTGTGAACCATCTTCACACCCTCTATAGATTTTAAATGATCTTTTATATATTCAAATCCTATATCTCTCGGAACGCCTGTTAAAATAATAAAAATAATTATAATCAAGTACGAACAATCTTGACAACAAACTGCGTACTTAAGCCTGGGAGGAAATCATTGTTCTAATACAATATATCTGCACTATTATGTTTATATAAAAATTTGGAATTGATGAAACATGTGTTGCCAGCCAATAAAAATACAACCACCAGCAGTCATCCAAGCAATTACGAGCTAAACAACTCTGTTTATCTGAAAATTTTGAATTTATGAAACATAGGTTGCCAGCCAACAAAAATACAACCAGCAGCAGCTAAGTCATCCGGGCAATTATGAGCTAAATAACTCTATCTGAAAATTTTGAATTTATGAAACATAAGTTGCCAGCCAACAAACATACAACCAGCAGCAGCCAAGTCATCCAAGCAATTATGAGCTAAACAACTCATTAAAATTTCAAAAATAACTAACTCAGCACTATTTATGTGGGGTGGCTTAATCTTTGTAAATTTGCATGCTTATAAAGTCTGCGGTGTCTATCTGGTGAATTTGTTTAGTATGAAATGAATGATCACAAGTAGTAGCTATGTCATCAGAGCTAAACAACTCGTAACAATTGCAAAAATAACTAACTCTGCACTTTCGTTTATAGGGGTTGTTATAATCAATCTTTGTAAATTTGAATTCCAGCAATAGCTATCGCATCTATCTGAAATTTTTGAATTGATCAAATGTTAGTTGCCAGAAAAAAAACATACACTGTACCCGAGATATCATTTATTTTTATCTCGCTTCAATTAGTAACCTGTCACTCTTAATTATCCACGTCACACAATATCAATAGGTACAAAAATACTCTTAAATTGTTTTGGTCCTTATTATGATCCACATCAATATCGTGATATAAAACATTTTTATTTCTTTGACATCGACAGGACTAAAAATATCAATTATTCATCTATCCGCATCTTGAGTGCAGTGGCAATACCCAGCCTCCTGGTTACTGAGATTGTAGTATTTTGCATCAACTGGAAATGAAATGAAATGAAATGGGGTTTAACATCCTACTGTTCTGCTCCTATGCTTGGCTAATGAAGACGGGCATACGCCATACAGTGTGCTATGAAGGAAATTTTGCCCGGGCAGTAGCACAATCGCCTACTCTTATATCGAATTCCAACTGCCAAGGGATCTTTTACGTGCATTCTAATGTATACACGGGACCTCGGTTTTTGGTCTCATCCGAAGGACTAGACAGCTGTCCTTGTCAGGCCCTTGCACCAACTGGGCAACAGACAGATAGAATTATTGGGGTTTAATGTCCACTCAAAACAAACTAAGCCATTTCGAGACTAACACATGGTTTAATATTATTACAATAATGAGCTTGAAAATAGGGATATTTAGCTGTGAGAGGAAACCGGAGTACCCAGAGAAAACCCATAAGATTGGACAGGTGACCCTACTCCTTGTCACGTACAAGCTGGGAATCGAAACCACGCCACTTGACTCAATGACAGACCTTATGATCCAATACACACGTGTTGAACCATTCGGCCACTCCACCAGACCCTAACAATTAATAAAATAAATCAACTTGTACTAAATGACTGCAATAGTTGACAAATAAAAACATTCTACCAGTAACTGACATTTATGCAAATTTTTTAAAGTAACACTTGTCAGTTTTGCTCTACATAACAGATGATTAAATTCTAAAATAAAACTTTTGACTTTTAAAACTGATTAAATTGTAATTTTCTGTCCCAAAAATAAAACTTTTGACTTTTAAAACTGATTAATGTTGCACCTATAAATAATTCAATGTTACAACACTTAAAAATTAGCCCCAGGCATTATACCATCAAATTTTAAATAAATAAGCAACAGGTATTTCAAGTACAAGACCTAAACTTTGGCTTTTCATATCCGTTCAGGAAATCTGTAGAACACAAAAGTGAACTGAAATAAAATGAAATGGGGTTTAACATCCTACTATTCTGCTCCTACTGGGTTAATGGGAGAGAAAGAGAGAAATGAGGTTTAACATCCACTCAACACAAACTAGGTCATTTCAGGACTAACACATGATTCAATTATATTTCTATAATTCGCTTGCGCGTAGGGGTCTTTAGCAGTGAGAGGAAACCGGAGAACCTGAAGAAAACCCACAAGGTTGGACAGGCAACCCTACTACATGGTCACGTACAAACGGGGATTCAAAACCACTCCAGTTGACTCAATGACAGACCTTATGATACAGCATGCACGTGCTTACCATTCGGCCATCCACCACCCCCTAGGCTAATGAAGAAGATGGACATACGCCATGCAGTGGCTGGACTGTAGTGGTTATGGCCTATTCTTATTTCAAATTCCAACTGTCAAGGTTTTTTTTTAAGTGCATGCAAATATATATACAGGGTCTTTAGCAGTGGGAGGAAACTGAAGGACCTGGAGAAAACCCATGAGGTTGGACAAGCGAGTCTAGGGTATCGACATCCCGCCAGTTGACTCAATGACAGACCTTATGATGTTGCGTGCACATGCTAACCATTCGGCAATTCCCCCCCACACTCCCACCCCGGACACTGTTAGGTATTCTTGTTAGTACTGTAGAGGCTTCAAATGACCTTATCTTTCTGAAATTTTATATTGGCTGTCTGCACAAATAAAAGGGAGAAACTTTTGGACAAATCCCAGAGTAATTCCCTATTTGTTATTAAATCTTGTTAGCACTATTAACAAATTAAACTTATATTGCATGTCTATTCTATTAAAATGAAGAACCCTATTGATGTTCAATGGTTTTCTATAATAACGTTAGAGTTATTTCCTTTTGTTACAAAATATTGTTAGCAATATAGAGGCTTAAATAACGATCTGACCTTTCTGAAACAGGTATGTCTATTGAAAGGAAGAACTGTATTGATGTAACTATGATTTGATGTTTCCAAAAAGTATTTGAAGTTTGCATATCTCATAACTGATTGGATGACTTTCCAGTAGCTGCTGCTAATGCTATATTTTGTTGCCAGGCAACCTATGTTTATAGTTTGTTTTTATCTATATACGGTTACATATTGAATTTCAAAAAGGTAGGTTGCCTGGCAATGAAACATACGCCCACATCAGCTATATCGTTCGGGCAGTCAACAAGAGTTGTCGCATATTTTTACTTTTTTCGGTAATGAAACATTTATACATGTAATACATTAAAATCTGATTAAGAGTAACAACTGATTAAGTAATTATCAGAAAACCATTAGAATTTGTTTGGTTTTTATAAAGTTCTGCCCTATGCTAACGTTTAGTATACGAAACTTTTAACATCATGGATTTAGCTGTTCAAGTCAAAAAGATTCATTAAAAATCAATATACTTGTTTGTCTCGAGATCTTAAACTCTGTGTATCAATCTGAAGTCAATCAGATGATAACTTTAGCCTCTACAGCGTTACAAGATTTTTCAAAGTGATCAAGGGCCATAACTCTGGCAGTAATTATCGGAAATCACTGAAAATCAATAGGCTTCTTCGTCTCAATACCTTAAACACAAGATTTTTCAGAGTGATCAAGGGCCATAACTCTGGCAGTAATTATCGGAAATCACTGAAAATCAATAGGCTTCTTCGTCTCAATACCTTAAACACAAGATTTTTCAGAGTGATCAAGGGCCATAACTCTGGCAGTAATTATCGGAAATCGCTGAAAATGAATAGGCTTCTTCGTCTCATGACCTTAAACACTGTGTATAAATTTAAAGTCAATCGGATATTAACTTTAGCCTCTAGAGTGTCCACAAGATTTTTCAGAGTGTTCAAGGGCCATAACTCTGGCAGTAATTATCGGAAATCGCTGAAAATGAATAGGCTTCTTCGTCTCATGACCTTAAACACTGTGTATAAATTTAAAGTCAATCGGATATTAACTTTAGCCTCTCGAGTGTCCACAAGATTTTTCAAAGTGATCAAGGGCCATAACTCTGGCAGTAATAATCGGAAATCACTGAAAATGAATAGGCTTCTTCGTCTTATGACCTTAAACACTGTGTATAAATTTAAAGTCAATCGGATATTAATTTTAGCCTCTAGAGCATCCACAAGGTTTTTTGAAGTGATCAAGGGCCATAACTCTTGAAGTAATTATCGAAAATCAATAGGCTTATTCGTCTCATGACCTTAAACACTGTGTATAAATTTAAAGTCAATCGGATATTAACTTTAGCCTATAGAGCGTCCACAAGACCGACGGACGGACGGGGGCGACAACAATATACGACCACATTTTAATGTGGGCGTATAAAAATAAATTTGTGCATTTTATATTGAACTGTCATTGCTACAGAATTGATGCAATACACCACAGTCATTTGATCAGCAGTGAATATTCACTGGGCCGTACAAGGATGACATCGACACAACTTAATGAGTCACAAATATGAACTTTTTTCCTCCGATAAATTAAATTTTAAAACAATTTTTGTATGTATTAGAAAAATTCACAAAAATGTTTGAAGTATTTGTAGGTAAAAATTATTTCCTATTTAGTGTAAATGGGTATTAAAATGAGTAAAAGGCACCAATCTGCTTGGACTAGTAGTGTCTTATGTAAACAATGCACGTGCCATTAAGCCAATGATTGACGCTGTGTGATATGAAATCACATGTTGAAGGCAGTCATCTTTTACAGAGATATTAGAAGACTTTCGTAATCCTCTGTGAAACAGATTGCGTCATTTGGTGATCGATCAAAACTCATTTTCGTTGTTACTAGTGTTGATGAGAGATAGAGAGAAAACTAGGTCATTTTGGGACTAAAATATGATTCAACTTTATTTCAATAGGGGTCTTTAGCAGTGGGAGGAAACCGGAGGACCCGGAGAAAACCCACGAGGTTAGACAGGCGACCCTACTCCTTGTCACGTACAACCAGGGAAACCATGCCAGTTGACTCAATGACAGACCTTATGATACAGCATACACATGCTAACCATCCAACCCCCCTAGAGTTGATAAAATACACTGTAACTTACCTTCTAACATAACGCGTAAAGTATCTCTTAAGACAGCTATAGTTGTTATCAGTACTAATAAGGAAAATATAAATGTACAAATAGGATCAGCTAGACGATACTTTTCTTCGGGCTGTAAGGAATGAGATTAAACGTAATTACAAAGAAAACTAATACAATAAGAAATTGAATACAAGACGAATTGCTGTATGAAATAATACTAAGTTTTCTTTCAAATGAAAGCTAATGGCCAAAAGTTCTTATTCATTAGATCCTTTTTCCTTGCCAGGCCAGGAGCCGCAGTGGCTGAGTGAGTACGACATTATTCCTGTTCGATCCCGGTGTTGGGGATGGGGATTTTACGGCATGGTTCCCCCTTGTAGTGCAGGACAGACCATCTAGCAAGGGACAGCGAGGTCCTGCGTACATATTGCCATGCATGTAAAAAAAAAAAACCCTTGACAGTTGTAATTTGATATAAGAGTGTGCCATAGTGTCTCTCTGTCTGGGCAATTATTTCCCTCATATGGCATATGCTCGTCTACACTAGCCCAGTCAGAGCAAAACAGTAGAACGTTAAACCCCATTTCATTTCAGTTCCTTGCTAGGACCTCTATCCTACATCACTGAGAAGTGGGAAACTGGGTTGGAAAATCTTGAAATGAAATGAAATGAAATGAAATGGGGTTTAACGTCCTACTGTTCTGCTCCTATGCTTGGCTAATGAAGACGGGCATACGCCATACAGTGTGCTATGGGGGAAATTTTGCCCGGGCAGCGGCACTATCGCCTACTCTTATATCGAATTCCAACTGCCAAGGGATCTTTTACGTGCATTCCAATGTATACAAAGGACCTCGGTTTTTCGTATCATCCGAAAGACTAGACAGCTGTCCTTGTCAGGCCCTCCCCGTCCTGCATCACTGACAAGGCGGGACCACTCCGGAAAATCCTGATGAACTTTCTCGGCCAATGCAGGGATCGAACACCAGACCTCCAGGCTAGCAAGCCAGCATCTTACCCACTTAGCCACGTGATCCCCCGGAAAATCTCAAGGAATTCTGGACTAACACTGGGATCAAACCCAAGACCTCCAGGTTGGCGAGCGAGTGCCCTACTCACTGAGCCACCATGGCTCCCAATCATGTGTAGAACATTGGTGCAAAAAGAAATCATAGTGATGTGTACCTACCTTAAATTTAATTATCAAAGCAGCAACAAAAACACCTATACTTTGAATAATATCACCAACAACATGTATAAAAGCTGCACGGACGTTAATATTTTTCTGTTTTGGGACAATTATTTCTTCGTCATCCTCCATAGAGTTGCCTACCATGGTTAACTGGTGATACTCTGACGGGTTGTGACTGTGTCCATGACTATTTCCAGCAGAGTGGGAATGATTATGACCAAATTTGGAATGTGAAGAAACTGAGCAACAGAATGCTTCAGAATGTAGAACACCAGCCATCCTAAAAAAAAAAAAAAAATTTATATAAAATTAAAGCTTCAAAATGGCAAAATAAATATCAAGTATAGATCATGCACAGCTATAATAAGTACTTGTATCTTCAAGAACAATCAAAAACACTTTTATCATCAAGCACGATTAAAAATACTTTTATTCATTATGTTGTACAGTCAAAATTACTTTTATTCAACGTGCACAGTCAAAATTACTTTTATTCAACATGCACAGTCAGAAAAACTTTTATTCAATGTGCACAGTCAAAATTGCTTTTTTTCAAAATGCACAATCAAAAATACTTTTATTCAACATGCACAGTCAAAAATTCTTTTATTCAACATGCACAGTAAGAAATACTTTTATTCAACATGCCCAGTCAAAAGTACTTTCATTCAACATGCACAGTCAGAAATACTTTTATTCAACATGCACAGTCAAAAATACTGTTATTCAACATGCACAGTCAGAAATACTTTTATTCAACATGCACAGTCAAAAAGATTTTTATTCAACATGCATAGCCAGAAATACTTTTATTAACAAGCAGAGGCAAAAGTACTTTTATTCAACATACACAATCAAGAATACTTTTATTCAACATGCACAGTCAAAATGACTTTTATTCACCATGCTCAAACGAGCCCATTCTTTATACATGGATGTCCTCAAAGGGTTAAAATTAACAAACATATTTCAAAGAACTTTTTGAAGTCTGGTGTTGATCAAGTTTTATACAGGACAACCATATATGTCGAATTCCAACTGCGATAGGTTCTTTTACGTGCACGCCAATGTGTACACGGGACCTTGGTTTCGTCCCATCCAAACTATACATTTTCCATTGCCAGGCCCTCCATCCTGTCCTGCACGACTGACAAGGGAGAACCACGCTGAAAACTCCCACTGAACTTTCTCGACCAATGTAGGGATCAAACAACGTCTTATTCGGCAAGCCACACGGGCTCCTGGACAAACAAAGTGTTACGAAAGTAGAAATAATACTAACGTCATAGTCATACACAGATATGACACCAAAATTTCAAAGAACATTTTCAAATGAGGATTTTATTTTGGGGGAGAAAGTTGTACATTAATTTTCATATCTTTTAAAGTAGCTAAGTCTCTAACTCAATATCATCCATAGTCTTCAACATTGATAACACAAGTTATTTATCAATTTAAATCAACATTGATGTTGTGATCTTACCGAGAAAAGATGGGATTCTGATATCCATTATTTAAGACAAAATAAACATTTTACCATTGGTACTCGAATCGCGTACCATAATGTGTTTAAATGCCATTTGTAACAAGGGACTCATTTGGGTCAATTTCTAGGTCCTAAATATTAGCAATTTAGCTCCTTTAAATTCAATTTACGTTTCATAATAAATAAAGAAAAAAACATGTTTGATCTAAATTTAAATGGGACACACAAAAAAAGTGTTACGAAAGCATAGAATAAATACCAACGTCATAAATCTAGATGACACCTATCATACAGAAGCCCATTCATCAATCCATTTGTTATCTTACTTTAATGAAATGAACCATGAACCAACTATTAAAGAGATTATACAATACATCAGACAACAAAGGCATCCAATTTGTGGAAAAAGTTCTAAATGACAGAGTGCAAATCTTAAAGCAGCAATCAGTCTATTAGTATGTCGGGAGAACCTTGGAAAACGCTAAAATTTAATAAACAAACTATAGTGAGCAGAGCCCAATAACAAGAAAATTCTGCAGTTCGCAGGACTAAAACTCTACTCGAATATGTTATCATGAATCGGCTTTTAATCAATGAAATGAAACGAAATGTAATGGGGTTTAACGTCCTACTGTTCTGCTCCAACTGGGCTAATGAAGATGGGGATACGCCATACAGTGAGCTATGAGGGAAATACATAAGACCTGATAGGAACATCTCGATTACTCCACGATTAAAACCACGATTTCAATTGTAGCGCGAATCGTGATAGTGGGAACCTAGCATAAGAGACGTCATAGGGAGCTAAACAAAGATCATTATTCAAGATAAATGAAATGAAACGGGGTTTTTAACGTCCTACTGTTTTGCTCCTAACCTGGGCTAATGAAGACGGGCATACGCCATACAGTGTGCTATGAGGGAAATTTTGCCCGGGCAGTGGCACTATCGCCTACTCTTATATCGAATTCCAATTGCCAAGGGATCTTTTACGTGCATTCCAATGTATACACGGGACCTCGTTTTTTCGTCTCATCCGAAGGACTAGACAGCTGTCCTTGTCAGGCCCTCCGTCCTGCATCACTGACAAGGGGGAACCATGCCGGAAAATCTGGAGGAACTTTCTCGGCCAATGCAGGGATCGAACACCCGACCTCCAGGCTAGCGAGCCAGTGTCTTACCCACTTAGCCACGTGATCCCCCATTCAAGAATATTTCAAGGAGATTGGAGATTAAAACTGTTATAATTTTAAAAATAAAATGCATATTCAACAATCAATATGATTAAAAGCAGACTCATAACTAAACATTATTCTGATGTCACTTCCTCTTTAAATCTAGCAGCTGATAGTGTTAATGAAAAAATTAAATCTTTTTTTTTTTGATAAAATTTCACTTTTTTATATCATAAGATATTGTACATGATATACACAAAATTTCTCTGATTATCTCTTGAAAAAATCTGAACTGGCTGTGCGTCAAGTTTTAATCGAAAATAATACTCTTTATAAAGAAAATTATTTTAAATACATATTCTGCTTATTATCCCCTGAATAATCTGAATGAACATTTTAAACATTTCTTTTAAAAAATATTTAAAAAAATATAAAATATTTAAAACTTTTTTAATATTGTATATAATTTTCTTTACACTATATTGTGAGGTGCCAATTTTGTTGGTTTGAGACATTTAACTCACAGAGAAAAAGTTCCCCTAGTCATCTAGATGGGATAGAAAACTGCGGTTTTGTGTAGACCTTTGCAGCATCTTAAAGTACAATGTAGCTAAGTCTTACTCAATATCATCCAAAGTCTTCGACATTGAAAACACAAATTATTTGTCAATTTAAATCAATATTGATGTTGTGGTCTTACCGGGAAACAAAATAAACATCTTACCATTGATACATGAACCATGTACCATAGTGAGTTTCAACGCCGTTTGTAATAAGGGACTCAAAGAACGAGGCTAGACATATTCCACCAGTCATGCTAAATGGTGACCCCATGTTCTTATCTGGAGAGCATGTGCAATAATTACTATTGGTCTAGACTGGAATAACCAGACGCTAGAGATTGCCATTTGATTGACACTTCTCGCGTATTTCGCCAAACATAACTGATTTGAAATTAGAGTAAAAACGGAAACGACTGAATGTACATCGGTTTATACACATTCATATTACATTATCATATGCTTTTTCGACCAATTTGTGTAAATTTTTAGGTTACAAATATCAGCTCTTTTACAGATCCCCTGACATTTTAAACATTTCTTTTAAAAAATATCTTAAAAAAATATAAATTTTATTTAATTCGTGTTTAATATTGTATCTAGTTTTCTTCACACTATATTGTGAGGTGCCAATTTTTTTTGGTTTGAGACATTTAACTCACAGAGAGAAAGTTCCCCTAGTCGTCTAGATGGGATAGAAAACCGAGGTCCTATATATACCCTAGCAGCACGTTAAAGATCCCCCAGCAGTTGCAAATCTAAATAAGAGTAAGTGGAAATGAGAAAGAATGGGCAGAATAACCGAAGTCCACCATTATGCCTGTCTTTATTAGCCTGTTTGGTGCAGAAAAGTAGGATGTTATTTCCTTTTCATTTTCTCTAGATGGATTCCTAATGTTTAGTATTAAATGGCCATCATAATGCACATATTTATTAGCCTGTACAGAGCAGTAGCCATGTTTTATTCATTTTTCATTTCTTCTTGATGCATTCCCTTGTTTTAATATTAAACATCAGGATCATCATACTAGTACACCTGTAAACTTGCCTTATTTTAATATTGAATGGGCAGCCTTTACAATGATATTATAATTGTACACCTGTAAGCAATATATGATTAATAGTTTTTATAGATTTATATTCTATTCAACACCTGTGTTAAAAAAATAATTCACAACCAAATAGTTAATTAGAAAGCATTTTACATTGATTTTTCTGTGCATTATTAGATTTAATATACTTCATTATTGTGCTTTATCTGTTTCTTACTCAATCTGATGTACATGATTACTGTGTTTTCTTGTAAGCTTTTAAGATGAAGGAGAGAGAGAGAGAGAGAGAGAGAGAGAGATATTAATATTTAGTTGACACTGACTATGTCATTTTGCTTTTGGTAATAGTCTATGACCATGTGGGAGTCACAATGACTCAGTGATGAGACAACCGGGGAGTCGAAACCATGCCAGCTGACTCAATGACAGACCTTATGATACAATGTGCACGCACTAACCATTCGGCCATCCAAACCCCCTCTGTGCACTCGACCTTTGGTTTCCATCTCATCCAAATAACTACATACTTTTCCTGTCCCGGCTTTCTGGCCTGACCATTTTACATAACATAACATACATCACTATTAAAAAAAATTATTGTAAACAGTTTTATTGACCTAATAAAATGAATTATTACTAACGCGTTGGAGCGAAAAAGTAGGATGTTAAACTCCTTTTCATTCATTATTACCACAGAGAAAATAACATATCCAATCTTTATATCTAATCAGATTGAAGAAATAACAGGAGTTTTCAGAGACATTTATTGTACTGATTTTTAATAACCGATCATTAGTCGTGGAATATACAAAATCTTTATGCAGATGTTCAATAATATCGATATCATACCTGAAGTTTTAAAGATAGTTTTATGGATGAACCTTCTCAAATTAAAGAGTTCTGAACCATAAAAAGTTTCTTAATACATGTATATATCTGAAGATCACGTCAAGTTAATATGGAAAGTATATAATATACCCCCATTCATTAAATACAGAGATGACATAATATAAAATGTGTTCGTACACGTGATTGATGTGTTAAAGAGTTTAACAAAACAAGAGTTGTGTGCAAAAGTAGATTTCAAAGTCACATTGACCTCAAGATCCAATTTATTCAATATTTCCTTACAATTTATTTAAATATTTTCTTTTCGGGTATATGTTTTCTTATATGTATGAATGAAAAATATATAACAATGTCAAATAAAAGGCAATAGGTTTATGCTCTCTCTACATCAACATAATTGTCCTCGAAAAAAAACATTCATACAAAAAGGTGTAAGTTCAAAATAGCCGACCAGGAACAAATTTTTTTTTCAAGAATGTCGTTTTCATTCTTGAAGCTTGTTCCTAATATAAACAAACTTAATATTTATTGATTGTCTGGTTTAAAGTAATTCTATATCTTTTCTACCATAGACCTTATAGTGGGGTTGAACGCCCACTTGACACACTAGCGCATAGGGGTCTTTAGCAGCAGGAGGAAACCGGAGGACCCAGAGAAAACCTACTAGGTTGGAAGGCAACCCTACTCCTTGTCACTTACATCAGTGTCAGGTATTTCTATGGTTTTGGGCGCCATTTGTAATGAACAAAGAAAAATATACCCAACAAGACAATGGAGAACTAATTAGTAATGGCTGATTCACAAAGGACAACATAATAATTAAAAAAAAGTGTAGAATGGACTAATCAGGCATAAACCACTACTGTTCAATTTGGGCTCTTCAAATATTTCATTGAACATAACTGATAAGAAATTACAATAAAACATTTCAAAATTTAATATAAATCACTGCATGTATATGCATTTGAGGGATCTTAATCGATTGCTTTTTGTCGGCTTTAGCCGCTTGAAGTTCAATCAAGCCGATTGGTAAAACAATGAACCTACTATGGTATCATAAATCTACTTTCGGCTAAATTCCAACAGGTTAATAATTACTTATATATTATATTGTAGGCTTGGGCGATAATGAAAAATAAATATCGTGATAATAATTTATCTAATATCACGATAAACGATATTATCGTGATAATTTTTACGTGTGTCTATAGAAGTCTAATTTTGAATTCTTGTGACGGTCTTGACCCCTGTCTTGTGTGCATACTGTATCAAATACTAATAAAGAAAAAGGTATGTTGTATTTATTATTTTATTAATATCAACCCTGGCAATCCCGTATAAATAAAAGCTTTTGTACTGACTTGGGTGTCGTGTTCGCAAATGATGATATAGGTTGGTTGTGTTGCCACCTTTAGCCATTACTGGATTTGTGCAAACTTTGCAGAATATTGTGGCCTGGTCTACGTCGTTTGGCTTAAACCCAAAGAAAGTCCAAACGGGACTGGAGGAATTTTTTTTAGGCAGCAAATCGTCGCTTGTTGTCACTTTTTTACTGTTGCTAGACGCTATGATGGATATTTACCCTTGACCCGCCGGTACTTAATATGCTATATTTTATACTTGTAGACGAATTTAATTCTATCAATAGAATGACATACTAGTTAGTCGAAGCAGAATATTAAGTTTTAATATAACGATAATATGTAACCAGAACTAGCAGGGTTCTAAAATCTACTTGTCTGAAAATCAGAACAGTGACAGTTGCGACTGGGGAAAATACTCTCCAACCTTGACCTTGCCAAACACATTTTCCTCGCTTACTAGTCCAAGCGACGATGTATTATCATCAATATTGGGACATGATAATTATCATAATCGCGATAATTTTTTTAAGTCACGATAAACCGGTTTTTCGATATTTTTAAGTAAGTCCGATATGATAAAATCGCCGATGATTTTATCACGGTATACCGAAATACCGGTATATCGCCCAACTCTATTATATTGCATTCATATTACATTACTATCTGCTTTTAGACTCATTTTCATCTATTTTAAGGTTGCAAAGAATAGAGCCCTACACCCTTTAACTACCCTCATATTAATTGTGCTTGAACATTCATACGATGAAAGGTTTAATAGTGTTAGTTCAAGACAGACGACCAGTGGTGTAAACATTAACTTTATTTACATTACAAACAGGAAAAAGTTACAAGAATGAAACAATTGCTACATCCCTTTTACCATTGATTTTATAGTACTTAATAATACAGGTGAATTTAGAAAACGAATTCTCTAAATGAACACACTAATATATTCTACATAATTAATGGATAAACATTAATGGATTTGAATAATATACAGTATTTGCATTTGTCAACAATTAGAGAGTTTAAAGATACATTATTCCAGAGCTAAATCTGCCTATTACAGGTTTTTCTTTAGGCTTTAAATGTTATATAAACTATTAATTAGATATTTATTAACAAAACAAGACCAAAATCACCTCTCGATGGCATCAGATGCTCTAGAACGATTCATAATCAAGACTTTGTTTACTGTCAATGTCATATCATAATTAAACACACAGCTACCACTAGAGATAAGGGGGCAATGTCAGGAATGTCACCTCAGTGGAAGTTAACTTTCTTATTGAAAATAAGGTATTTTGTGGTTACTTTTATCCAAATAAAAATCAATGAAGCGCAGGTCATAATGCTTTCATATTTTGAAAAAAACTTTATTTAAAGTTTAAATAAAGTTTTTCCAAAATATGAAAGCATTATGACCTGCGCTTCATTGATTTTTATTTGGATAAAAGTAACCACAAAATACCTTATTTTCAATAAGCATGCATCTTTTGCTGCCAAAGGGGTGTGGATGTAAGTTAAGCAATATAATGTAAGTTCCAGACAAAAAAATGCAGCAACTGGGAAAGCCAACAAGACGTTGTTCTTTGTTACAATTAAAAAAGGGCCCATTAAAAGATATCACTAAACACTCATGGTTTAAATCAGTTTGGGACAGATGTTTCTTTTAAAGATCCAATTTTTACAATACTGCAAAAACACTCCCCAAATTTTTGCTAATTAAAGTAAAACAGAACAGTTTAATACTTACACTAAGTTAAAAACAACACCGAGACCAGCTGTTATCAACATTTCATCAGCTTTTACATCTTTATAATGTTCATGAATAATTCTTTCTATTGCGATGTAGCATAGCACACCTGACACCAACCATATAATAAACACACTAATGAGAGCACCTAGTACCTCTGTAAACAAACAAAAAAAACCCAAAAAATCATTAAATGAAGTATGAGAGAAAGAGAGAGAGAGAAATGGGGTTTAACGTCCACTCGACACAAACTAGGTCATTTCGGGACTAACATATGGTTAAATTTTATTTCAATAATTCGCTTGCGCGTAGGGGTCTTTAGCAGTGGGAGGAAACCGGAGGACCCAGAGAAAAACCAATGGGTTGGACAGGCGACCCTACTCCTTGTCATGTACAACGGGGATTCAAAACCACGCCAGTCGACTCAATGACAGACTTTATGATACAGCACGCCCACGCTAACCATTCAGCCATCCAACACCCCAAATGAAGTATGAATGGCTATCATAAACTATTTTTAATCTCTCTCTCTTTAACACTTTTATCAGCTTCCAGTTGAATAAGCACATAGTGTGTATGTATGTATGTACTAATTATAATTTTAGATTAAATTGTCTATAATTGTCTATAAAACCCGCTGCCGTAGAATGATTAAGTAAACATAAACACATTTACATTCTGTTATTCAGTCCAGTATTTTCCATCTGACCTCTCATGTACATGTACATGTAGCACAACAATGTCTGGATATGTAAGTACACTTTTTTTCATGTATTATTAAAGATACATTATGGGAGATAAGATAACGAGTTGGAGTTGACAGTTCTCACCATAATAGTTAAAAACTAGATAATGTAAAGGCAATTTGCTGAAAATTTCAGACAAATTGATCCACTATGAACCGAGAAATAAGCGATCAAAAGTTCCGCATAGCCTCGGTCATCATTACTAAAGCCGGTACGACAAAAATCATAGTCTCGATTATCCATTTAATCGTTAAATCGAGAAGGAAAGTAATCCAACAAATATCGCAGGCTAGCGTTGACGTCGAGAGTTAGTCATGGTCTGGATACATTAATTAATGTCTAATTAATAGTTTATATAACCTTTCAGGCCTAAAGAAAGGCCTACAATAGGCAGATTTAGCTCTTGCATAATGTATGTTTAATATGTATATCTGATTAAATCACAGATCGTTTTTTATATGGTTCAATATTCTGTTTTACTTGTTTGTTCTATGTTCTATACTGGGATCTGGGAGAGTTGTTATATAACCTGCATTCTGGTTGAACGATCGATAAGCCAATGAAACGGCATATTGCGAAGTTTTTCTTAGCGTACGGTGCAGGAACTGTGCATATCCCAGTAGAAACATCAGCACTGATTGGTTAATAGGGTCAAGGCTGCTCGTATCCCCCCGGCCACAACCTTCCACTACAACCGGTCAGATCTTCATGTAGTGGAGGCAATCGAAAGTATAAAAAAAAAAAACAAAGCGAAATAGAGACCTGTTAATATTATTATTGACTATCGGTCAGTAGGGTGACCAGTAGGGTGTCCATGTATGTACAGGTTTCAATCCCACCAGAAGGTTAACACTCCTGTCACACATGTGAAAATATACCATATTATAATCATTTACACCATAAAGGAGATAGTTCACCTATATGTCTCATTGAGTCAACTGGCGGGGGGTTTTATTCCCCGGTTGTACGCCACAAACAGTAGGGTCGCCTGTCCAACCTTGTGGGTTTTGTCTGGGTCCTCCGGTTTCCTCCCACTGCTAGAGACCCCTACACGCAAGCGAATTATTGAAATAAAATTGAACCATGTGTTATTCCTGAAATTACCTAGTTTGTGTCAAGTGGACAGTAAACTCCATTTCTATCTCTCTCCTATATGTTTTCCTGCAATCTGGCTTGTATAGGTGCTGACAAGCCATTCAACCACATTTTATTTCATTTTCATCTGTATGTATAATTACATATTCTGACAATAACCAGATAAACATGACAGCTACTCAAATCAACTTGTAAAAATTTTCTAGAGTTGTGGTTAGTAAATTTTAAATAATGAATCTGAGTAGATATTAGTGTGGATTAAGCCATGAGATATTTGATATTGTAACAACAAATATTAGCGTGAACATATTGATATCTTAGTGAAAAAAAGCAAATGATGCATTGTTACTTTATCTTTGGATGTCAAGTCAAATTTGATATTTTAGCAACAAATATTAGCGTGGATATATTGATATTTTAGTGAAAAATGCAAATGACAGTGTAACTTTAACCGTGGATGTCAAGTCAATACACTTGGTGTGCTTAGCGAACACAAATACATGTACATCAGGTTGTAGCAACTCACAGGTAAACACAAAAATTCCTTAATCCATGTCAGGGGGTGCAAGATACATACAACAGGTTATTTAAAGTAGCCAAGTCTCCAACTCAAAATCAGCCAAAGTCTTCAATATTGAAAACACAAAATATTTGTCAATTCAGATCAACATTGATGTTGTGATCTTACCAAGAAAAGATGGGCTTCTGATATCCAATATTTGAGACAAAATAAACATTTTACCACTGGTACACAAATCGTGTACCATAATGCGTTTCAGCGCCGTTTGTAACAAGGGACTCGAGAAACGACTCAAACGAGGCTAGACATATTCCACAAGTCGTGTACAACGGTGACATAATGTTCTTTTCTAAGGAGCATGCGCAATAAATACTATCGGTGTAGACTGGAATAACCAGACACTAGAGATTGCAATTCAATTGAGACTTCTGCCGAACATAACTAATTAGAAATTAAAATAAAACAGAAACGATCGAATGTAAATCAGTTTATATACATGTACATTCATATTACATTATTATATGTGTTGCGTCCATTTGTATCAATTTCTAGGTGGGTCCCAAATATTAGTGATTTAGCTCCTTTAAGCAATGTCTTGTGCAAGATCATGTGACATTTTTTTCAGTCCACACGGCCCGTCTTCATTAGCCCAGTCGGAGCAGAACAGTAGGACGTTAATCTCCATTTCATTTCTTATCTCTGCTTACACGATTTGTTTCAGCCTTACATGTAGTATATAAATGTACATATTTTGTTGAATATTAACACAATAATATCGTATTTTTATAAATAATTTATATAACAAAGTTTGACAGGAATATAAATCAGTCTCCTGTCAAATTTATAAAACAAAACAATAGTTGATGCAACATTATTCAAAAATATCTTTTTGATTTTGAGAAAAACGTTACAGTGGGGATTTTTATTAAATTTGATGAATTTCTGTTTTGCGAGATTGATTACACAAGTGAATTTTTCTACGTACAAAGCAAATGTTTAAATATATTATTTGATTTTGTTTTCAAGTCAGCAAAATGAGTAAATTTCTGCTTTAACAAAAACATAATCCAAATTACAGAACATGACATCTTACTGTTCTGCTACTACTGGGCGCCTTATGGAGATGGGCCATACGCCATACAGTGAAATTTTTCCCGGGCAGCAGCACGGGTCCTCGTTTTTTAATCCCACCCAAACGACAAGACAGGGAAGTATAGCACATACATGTTATTCACAGTAAATAGACATCTTATACAGTCATAAAAACACATACATGCGCATATCTAATAAGAGCACATACATGTACATATCTTATTAGAGCACATGCATGTATTGTCTCCCCCCCCCACCCTCCTCCCCTGTATTTGTTGAGCATTTGTAGATGTTGTATCAGTTTTTGGACACATGTATGAACCAGAATACAAGTACTTATAATTAAATACATGCCACCTGTGCTATCCTAGTCGTAAACAGGATGTTAAAATACAATCGCTATATTATTTCCAGGTCAATTATCAGGATATTAATTCAAGAAGAGTTTATTCATGAAAACTGTGTATTTATCAAATAAAATTGTTTCAATAAAAATCTGCCATCGAAACAATTTATCAGGACATTATATCAAAAAAGTTTACTCAATGAAACTGCATACATGTATATTATTACAATGATAAGTTATATTTATAGCACAGCTTTCATGAGTTAACAAGTTTAACCAGAGGCCGAAGGTCGAGGGTTAAACCTGTTAAATAATGAAGCGTGCTATAAATGACTTGTAACATTGACAACTGCTCAACATGCTTATTGTTATTGCACAGGAAACCCACCCCACTTCTCTATATGATTTCTACTAAAACTAGTGTAAACCAGCAAAAGTGTGCAATAACATTGATAATGTGTAGATATTGCACGGTTAAGCTCCACCCAATCTACTAGAGGGAAAACACTTTGCTTATTGAACGAAAAGAACAAAGGAAGATTTCCCATCCATGTTACAAGTTGATGTGACAAACCATTTCAATATCAATTTTATCTGAAAAACTATTATCGAATACCACTGAACCAATTTATCAGGATTTACATCAGATATATTTACCTGACAAACTATCATAATACTGACTTCACCTGACAAACTATTTCAGCCATGATTTTATGCTCCCCCCCCCCCCACAATTTTTTTTTTCAAAGGTAACAACCTTATATACCTGATCAACTATTGCAGGCAAACTGTTTCAGACAAACTATTTCAGCCAAGATTTGACCAGGTAAACTATTTCAGTGGTGATTTGATCAGATAAAATATTTTAATGATAATGATTTTACCCAAGCCTGGATATAAGGTACCAGTCGCAGACAATGTCCAGCACAAAGGCAAGTTTTGTCCATCCTCGGTTTTTTCAGTAGTCTCATTCCGTTTTACTCCACTATGCCCTGCGTTAATCCATAGGGTATTCACATTATTCAGATTATCTGCTCTGGCCTTGATCATAGCTTGAGTCTGCGAACCAATCAAAAAACAGTTTACAACCCAGTCTTACTAAAGTCTCTTTAGCCTCATTGTTTAAGTTCACAACATTATGAGAGTTACTTAACTTCTGTTTGCCAAATTCATTTGCAATTCACGATCTAGACCATCGTGACAGTGTGATTAAGAATATATCAAACTACAAAAAATAGCTTGATACAAAAAGATAGGTTGCCAGGCAACGAAACATACGCCCACAGCAGCTATATCGTCCGGGCAGTCAACAAGAGTTGTCGCATATTTTTTACTTTATTCGGTAATGAAACATTCATAATACACTAAAATCTGATTAAGAGTAACAACTTGTGAAGTAATTATCCGAAAACCATTAGAATTTGTTTGGTTTATATAAAGTTCTGCCCCATGCTAACGTTTAGTATCCGAAACTTTTAACATCATGGATTTAGCTGTTCAAGTCATAAAGATTCATTGAAAATCAATATACTTGTTCGTCTCATGACCTTAAACACTGTGTATAAATTTAAGGTCGATCGGATATTAACTTTGACCTCTAGAGCGTCCACAAGATTTTTTGAATCAAGGGCCATAACTCTGGCAGTAATTACAGGAAATCGCTGAAAATCAATAGGCTTCTTCGTCTCATGACCTTAAACACTGTGTATAAATTTAAAATCAATCGGATATTAACTTTGGCCTCTAGAGCGTCCACAAGATTTTTCAAAGTGATCAAAGGCCATAACTCTAGCAGTATTTATCAGAAATCCCTGAAAATGAAAAGGCTTCTTCGTCTTATGACCTTAAACACTGTGTATGAATTTAAAGTCAATCGGATATTAACTTTAGCCTCTAGAGCGTCCACAAGCAATTGTGGACGTCGGACCGACGGACGGACGGGGGCGACGACAATATACAACCACATTTAAATGTGGGCGTATAAAAAATGGATAATTGAGAGTTTGTTTATTATCGTATTATGGTACTTAACAATCAAGACAATATTTATTAAATCTACAACAGAGAGAGAAAAGGGCTTTAACATCCACTCGACACAAACTAGGTCATTTCAGGACTAGCACACGGATCAATTTTATTTCAATAATTCGCTTGCGCATAGGGGTCTTTACTGAAATTTTCAATATATTCATTTCAGTTATCTATTTTTGAACTATTGAAGCAACAACAGCCATCTCTTTATCTAAAGGCATGGTTCCGCTTTGTCAGTGGTGTAGGACTGGGGGGCCTGGCAAGGGGCAAAGGAAGTAGTCGTTCAAATGGGATGAAAAATCAAAGTCCTGTGTCCACATCAGCATGCACGTAAAAGAACCCTTAAAATTCGAAATAAGAGTAGGCCATAGCACCACTGTTTGGCCGAAATTGCCTCATAGGTACATTGTATAGAATTTTCATTATATTATCCTAGTTGGAGTTGAACAGTAGGACATTTGTTCAACCTCAGTCAATTTCACTTCTCTTTATCTAAATCTTACATAACACATCTTTAAAGCAGTCAGCTCGAAACACTATTATAATATATATACAATAACAAGGCTTATCTTTTTCCTTCATTAACTTTACAGTTATATTTGGACTCTTATTACATATATACTCCTAAAGATAAAACATGAACTGGTAGAATTGTGAATATTTATCTATAAGCTAATCTTAAAGTCCTATAGGCATTTTTCACCACAATATCAAATTTCTTACAGCTTAATCCATGTTAAAGATACATTATGGGAGACTAGAAGAATGCCCGGCTTCGCTCAGGGGTCATAACCCCGAAGCCAGAAGTGGCAGACTAACGCCACCTGGCCTATGTTACTCCCCGGTCAGAGCTACCCCTATACCCCAAATTTCAGACTCGGGGCAGACCTAGTGTAGCCGCCAACCCCTAACAGACAGACAAACGACAGTCACAAATATTAGTATAAATTAGACAAAGAGCTGGAGGTGCTCACTATAATAGTTAAAATCGAGATAATGTAAAGGAAATTTGCTGAAAATTTCAGTCAAATTTATCCACTCTGAACCTAGAATTTAGCAATTGAATTTTAGGCCTCAAATTGATCATCATTACTAAAGTCGGTACGATAAAATCATAGTCTTGATTATCCATTTTTTTTATTTAATTATCAATGAGCGTTGAGTAGCAGATCAGATTCCAATCCAGTAAATATCGCAGGCTACCGATGACATCGAGAGTTGATTATGGTCTGGATAAGTTAAATTAATGTCTAATTTATGATTTAGATAACTTTTCAGGCCTAAAGAAAGATCTGCAATAGGCAGATTTAGCTCTTACATAATGAATGTTTAATATACCGTACACAAGGTGAGGGGTTTTACATACAATGTAGGCTAATCCTGTTCAAATATCCTGAATACAAATATTGTTTTAATAAAATATATATATATTGATTATTTAGCATTTAATCGAGCCTGGAGATAAGGCACCTGTGACAAGTCACATATTTGGTCAGACACAAATCATTAGAAAATGTATATATTAGGCCAAAATTAAAAGATTGTCTGTTTGCCCAAACGCGACCGACCCCCAAAAAAGCCGGCGAGTCAAATTCTTTTATTGCCGTTTTTGAAGATTTTTTTTTTTTTTTTAACAGCATTATTTTTACGCTTGACAATGACTCCCAAACGCGAAATAATCGGTCGGGAGATTGAACAGCCACTCTCATGTCTATACATAGTAACACCAAACTCGACATGTGATCGTAAAATCTCGTTATTTATCGCGATAGTTGTTGTCAAGGACAATTGTCATGGCGGACAATTACTTTACTATGTCGTCTTCGGTAGTGATAAAAAGCGAAAATAAAGTAAAACCAATCGTTTCGAATAAGTTGCAGCGATTTAACAACAGTAAGACATGGAGGGACGTCTTTGATGATGTCACTGTTGATGAAATAGAGATAAACACGAAGACAACGGACAATGTGTTGTGTTATACTGTTCTCGTTAATAATAAAGTTAGAGTTTAAATATAGTTTTGTTTTTGCATTTAGTTCTCAAAGTCTGGTCCTCTCCCCAAAAAAAAGAATTTGCCTACCTACCCATACCTAATCATCATGAGTCGGGTTTGGGCAAACTGAAATATTTTTAACCCTGGCCTTATGTATATGGATTTGTTCTGTGATAATTTGTCAAAAAAAATATGGCTGGCAATATGTTAAAGAGATCATCATGATTTTACCAGAGTCTCAGAAATAAAAGTCTGACGACGTATGAATTTTAAATACCAAAATATAGAGAAATGGTGTATTTACGTTGTCTCAAAATTTCAGCTCAAAATATTGAGTCGTTTGGACGTGAATGTCAGAACTGCCTATCCGGACACGTAATCCTTTTAAGATTTCGGGTCAATTTTTTTATTGGATGGCATGATGATCTATTACCGTTCCTTTATAAGTCTATACAGTGCATGAACCACGTGCTGTAGTTGATAACGAAAGGTAATTTTCATCTACATGTTATTTTTATAAAATAAAAGTCTGGTTTTATCCAGACACCGTATAATACCGCTTTGGACACCAGTCTCCATTTTCAGATGAAGACTTAATGGTTTAAGTTATATGAAAACGTATCACTTATATTAATGACTTTTAACACAAAATTAAGCAGTTTTATCCTCGAAAATATAATCGAGATTGGCCCTTTAAATTGAAAGTAAATCTTTGTATCTCAAGTGTGTACATGTATGTATCAGTACCAAGTGTTTACAAGTGGTAACATAAACTTTAATTACTTGAAAAATATTCAAGAAGTGTATCTGGGTCATAGACATGTAATATACTGTATATGTATATCGAGTCATGACAATCCATCATACAACTCTAAGAGAGAGAAATGGGGTTTAACGTCCACATTTCTAAGAGATATGTGTGAAAATTGGGTGTATTAATTATATCCAATCTGATTAAAACACAGATCCTATTTCGTTTCTTTTTTTATAGTTCAAAATTTCGTTTTACTTGTCTTTACTACACTAGTATCTGAAAGAGTTGTTATATAATCTGCTATCAGGATGGAGTGAGGGGTTAGCCAATGAAACCATCTGTTACTGCAACTTCTTGGTGTGCCATGCACGGAACTGTGGGTAAACCACTAGAAATGTCAACGCGGTGCAATAAGGTGCCATGATACATATAGATGTCATTTACGAACTGATTGAATTTTACAAAGCTTTACATTTCTCAAATACAACTTTTGGCACCTCTTAAATTGGCTGCATAACAGTTTAAGTGACCTGACATAAAAGCGACACAAACAATCAACATTATTCAAGCATATTGCAAGAACCAAATGACTAGGCAATATCCGTTGCTAGGCACCACTGACAAGTGTAAACCATTGTGGAAATTTTCAGGGAACTTTCTAAAGCAACACCGATATGGAACCCCAGATATCCTGGTTAGTGAGCCAGCGCCTTTAAATAGTTTTCTGTTTATTCTGTCTGTATCTTATCCGTTATATATTTAATCTTCAGACAACACATATTTCCAAACAAACAGAAGTTAGTGAGACGGAGAGTGAGAAATGGGGCTTAACTGCTACTAGACCAACATAGCTTTACTATAATAATACTTGAATGAATAGTTTATCAACATTTATTGACCTTTTTCTAACTAGTAATTAGATTACTAAATATAAATCTGGATTTCTTTAAGAGTTTTAACAGTGCACCAAATGTTTGACAAATGAATGGTCACATTATGCAGTTACCTTGATAAGAAAAGATTTATAGCTTTCATATTTTGCGATATTTATATTAAAATCAATAGTGCATGTATGTGCCTTTACGAGATTGCAGACATATGATTTGGATACAATTTATTTCGAACTGGACAAAGCGGGCTAAAAAAAAGCCAGGCATACGCCATGCAGTGTACATGTACAATGAGAGAGAGTTTGGCTGGACAGTGGCGCTATGGGCTACCCTTATTTCAAATGTCAACGGTTCTCTTACATGTACATACACACAAACATTTTACATACACAGGATCGATCCATCTAAATGACAAGATTCTGTTCCTTGCATGTCCCCCATCGTCCTGGAACTCCTGATTAGCAAGCCAGCACCTTACTCACTCAGCCACCGTGGCTCGTCATTTATTAATTAGGTCCATTTACGGTATATGGTGGATCAAGTAATATAATATAAGGTACAGACATTCTGAGGTTCCACAAGGTTCAGTCCTTGGACTTTTATTAAATAGGTTACATGTACATATGTATATGGCTCAAGCAACACAATATGACAGCTACTTACCAGCTCTGTGATATCCAAAAGACATGGTTTTTGACGGTGGTTTTTGTGAGAGATAAATGGCTAATAAACTAATCAAAAAACTAATTAAATCACTTCCTAGATGCAGGACATCGGTAAATAACGCTAAACTGTTGGATAAAACACCACCTGAAAATATGACCCAAAAAAAAACCTTTTTAGTAAAATAAAACATACAGTTTTTTTATTCATACCGGTACATCTGATCATAAAAAAAACACGATCTTTAACCAATAAAGAAACAACTTTATTCAACGTATCACCGTCTACACATCATTGTGCAGTTGCTCATTGTTGCCCCTGGCCAGGTTCGCATAACACTAGCTTGTTTGGACATATTTTGTTCTTGAACTGTTTTGACTAATTATTGAAAGTCCTACATAATTATGTGCTTTTACACTACAGTTTGAACGAACAATTAGCCTCACTATAAAGTCACTGACCAATGATTACAGATACATTCTTTTTAGTATTAAAATTTTGAAAATAGATTGGGTCCTTCCTTACCGTAATGAATAAACACACCAAGTTTCCGAGCTATACAGTGTTTACAAGATTTCCTAAATTTAGGCACGTGAATTCCAGGATAGGATAACATTTGATCAACAATTTGATATGATAACTCGACCCTCGATAACAATCTTTGACTGATGACCCGATGAAATGAAATGAAATGGACTTTACTGTCCTACTGTTCTGCTCCGAACTGGGCTAACGAAGACGGGCATACGCCATACAGTGTGCAATGAAGGAAATTTTGCAAGGACAGCGGCACTACGGTCTACTCTTATATCGAATTCCAACTGTCAAGGGATCTTATGTGCACGCCAATGTGTACACGGGACCTCAGTTTTTCATCCCATCCGAACGACTAGATGGCTGTACTTGTCAGACCCTCCGTCCTGCACCACTGACAAGGAGAAACCACATCGAACAATCCTGATGAACTTTCTCAGCCAATGCAGGGATCGAACATGATGACCTAATGAACAATCCCTTTGAATGTAGAGTGTTCGAAAGACCGCATATATACACGCACATATATTGTTGAATCATTTCTAGGCCCCTCACGTGCAAAAGCTACGCAATATTAAATAATAAACATAAATAAAAACTTGTCAAGCCCACCTGTAGTAGAAATTGCAAAAAAGTGTTCGACAAAGTTGACTTTGATGGACACATTATTATATAGCATTCATATACACTGGGGAGGAATTATAATATCTGTTTAGCCAAATTGCCTACCCAGATGTTCAAACTATAAGGCTATAACATTTTCATGTCTGAACATATGTACTAGAGTAACTAGAACATATGTAGACTCCGTCAAAGACATTGTAAGACATAAATATCACCCACATAATCAAGCCTGAAGACATAAGGCACCTGTCACAGACATTATCAGGAACAAATTATCACAGGTGCCTTATGTCCTGGCTTGCATCTATCATTGAATAATTCTTACCAATAGCTTCACCGGTCATAAAAGTCAGACAAAGAATCACCACAGCGGCCAACTGATTTCTGGCTACGACATCCTTTTTAACCTTTTTGCCAAAGTGGCAGTGTACGTCTTCTGTCATATCCATCATGTTTCCTGTCGAGGTTCCGTCGTTTTGATCCTGATCCTGGTTATTTAGCAACAAATCGTTTTCCCTGTTTAACTCGACACGGTATCGTGAATCATTATTATTAGATCGAACAGAAACATATGGATCAATTCCTATAGTTGAGACCTGATTAGGTTGATTAGTTTTTAGATCCTGTTTAGACGTGTGATTAGCTTTTGACTTAACACATTTTGATTCACATAACACTGAACTGGCAACGTGCTTGTCGCCTTTATATAAATCAATTTCACTTTGTCTCTTATCAGTCCTCGTTCTGTCAGTTGACTGCAATACTTCCGTGTTATAAAAGTCTCTCTTTTCTAATGTATGTTCATTTAGGTCTGTACTGCCACTTTTAAGATTAATAAGGCTGTCATCAAAATCGTCGTGACCTACAAATTCTGATTTATTATTGCCAGCAAGCGAATCATAGTCTTCATTTAATAAACCACCATTTACAAATTCATAATCGATGTCATGAACAAGTTTATCGTTAGGAATTCTGCCATTCACGAAGTTGTTATTCGAGTGATTACCCTCTGACAAATCGATCAAATGTTGTTTGTGTTTTAAAGAGCTTGATTTACGGGGTTCAATCCCAGCTAAAACATCACCGCCGTGTGTGTACACATGAACAGGTGGCAAATTTTGACAGTTTTCCCATTTGCCCTCAGCCATCTTGTTTACATTGACCATGTGACCTATCACGTGATCTTTAAAGCCCACCCATAATTTTTTTTTTTTTTTTTCGGGTATAAAAAATCAAAAAAACCTGACTGACTGTCAATAAAAGTGTCCATAAAGATATGAAAAAACTAAAATTGAATATTTAAAGATCCACCAAACGATTGTTTAGAAGATTTTTTCTTATTTTTTGACAGAGCTAGGGATTTCGTTTAGGCAACCAAATAAATAACAGCCTATCTAGTCATTCGGTTGGCACCAAAATAAACTTTACCACGTAGACATGCACGTTAAAGAAGCCTTGGCTAGTTGGAATTTTCGTATGCCCGTATTTATTAGCCCGGATGAAACAGAGAAGCAACACGTTAACCACATTTCATTTTATTTATTTAGAACTAAATTTTATTGATGTTGTGAAAAATTTTATTAACACATACGTCTGCATATCGAATATTCTGATTATTCAATAGGTCCATATAGTTCGATGTGTAACTTATATAAATCTATTATCGAAACGATTATTACAATTTCGTTTTGTGCTAAATTTTATTTTATAGTTTCAACTTAGTAGTATGTAAAGGGGATCTATTATTAATTCAATGGAGTGCGGAGATGGGGTGGTGGGGTGCAGAGTGGGCGATTGCCTTGGCATCCATTTCATGGGACACATAATCAAAAGATAAAAAATTAAAATTTTAGTTTTTTGAACTAGGTGTTAACTTATAATTAGGTGTAGGGGACTACAAGCTGTCACGCTTAAAGGGCAAATGGCTCTATCATTAAGACATTGTGGTTCTCAACCTTTTTTTTGCCAACAGCACACGTTGGAACACATGACACACCTGGCTAAATATATATGAAAAATGTTTGAATTTTGCAAAATAAAAACATGGCAAGTCATAGACGGCATACAACCGTAGACATAGAGTAGTCATAGACACATAGAATGACTCAAACTAAATAAAGAAAAACACAGCTATGAACTTACTTTATTGCAGTGTTTCGAATTTCAAAAGTCAAATGGCTGGCTTCCTTAGTGAGAAATTTCCTTAGTGAGCCGTTCAAAATTTCGCGGCACACCCGGGAAGATCTCGCGGCACACGCGGCACACTATAAGTTGAAAATCACTGATTTAGAACCTTAAAGGCTCAATACCACTCTTGTTGTAACTGAATAATATGTCCCAATCTTTATTCTGGTCAACAAATTGTACTATTTTACAATAATCCAATTAATTGATGATACAAATGTCATCTTAACACACCTAATTTAAAAAATTGGAAAAATTCAACTAAATGATTTGAAAAGCCTGACGTAATGCTTTTCAAATGTGACTTGGATTTAAAAATATTTTTGAACCCTCTGGACAAGTAAAATAGGATTTAATGGATAATTTACACAACAGGTAAAACACTAACACATCTAGTACTTAGAATAAGGCTATTTTTTTATTTTCTGGAGCTGTCAAGCCAGCAAGAGTGTTATTGTCCCTTTCAGATAGACGAACTGTGTCTAAAAAGCACATTATCAATATGAATGTATATAAAGTGAAATGTGTGAAAAGTCCATTCTACACGTCGTGTTTTTTTTTATTATTATTATTTTGTCGTTTGTGAATCAGCCGTGTTGTTTTATGGGATGTCTTTTTCTTCTTTCATTACAAATGGCACCGGGAACCATAGAGTAAACGACTCGTGTACTGATTTTAAAATGGTCATTTTGTTTTAAATACTGGATATTAGGATCCCATATTTTTACGGCAAGATAACAACATCAAGTAGTCACCCCCCCCCCCCGGGCATCACCTAACCCCAGAACGACACTGCACTGGCCACAGTTTAATATGTGACCAACTATATATCTCAAGTTTTCAAGTTTGGCTTGAATCATTGGGATCATCAGGTGACGAACTTTACCGACATTAAGAGACCTTCTATGCCGCAGTATGCCTTTTTCGAAAAACATCGTTAACGCGAAAGATTCTACGGTATTATTGTTGTGCACCATTAGGGCTGTGAGGAGAGGATGAACCCCATTGATTTTCAAATTTGGTGAGAAGCATTTGGATCGGAGAGGAAGAACCCTTATGACCTTCAGCATTATATGCCTTCCTATGAACACGACAGAGATCATTTTCTTGAAGGCATAAATAATCCTTATCAAATTTGGTCAACAACCAAGTATTATTTGCTGTCTATAGCTATTCTTTTTCCGAGACACACGACTGTCGTGTGGGCATATTTCGAGGTAGTCTACGCGGAAAAAAATATTAGACATACCTTTACCGCATGTCATATATAGATTCAAGAGGATACATAAAGATATAGTTTTAAATCTCATTCTGTAGGATCACTTCAGTTTTCTGTAGGAACTATAAAACATTGTTGACCTTTATTTGAACATACATCTATAAAATATGTGCTTATCTCTTTGATTTATTGTGAATTTTCTATCCCGGGTGTTTAATAAATAATTGTTCCCGCAACGAGGCTAATGAAATGAAATGAAATGGGGTTTAACGTCCTACTGTTCTGCTCCGATCTGGACTAATGAAGACGGGCATACGCCATACAGTGTGCTATGATGGAAATTTTGCCTGGACAGCGGCACTATGGCCTACTCTTATATCGAATTCCAACTGTCAAGGGATCTTTTACGTGCACGCCAATGTCTATACGGGACTTCGGTTTTCGTCCCACCCGAACGACTAGACAGCTGCCCTTGTCAGGCCCTCCGTTCTGTATCACTGACAAGGGGGAACCACGCCGGAAACTCTGGATGAACTTTCTCGGCCAATGTAGGGATCGAACACCCAACCTCAAGGCTAGCGAGCCAGCGTCTTACCCACTTAGCCACCGTGACCCCCACGAGGCTAATGAAGACGGGACATGCTAATGGGAGAAATTGTGCCTTGTCAGTGGAGCTATAATACATACTTTTATTTCAATTTCTAACTGCATCTGGGGGGGGGGGGGTCCTTAACGTTCTGTTAGTGGTATACACAGGAATTTAGTTTTTTTGTCTCGTTCACACGACTAGACGCCTTTGCTTGTCAGGCCCAAAGTCCTCCTCCTATATAACAAGGGGAAACCAAACTGGATAATACCGAGAGAGAGAGAGAGAGAGAGAGAGAGAGAGAGATGGTGTTTAATGTCCACTAGACACGAATTAGTTCATTTCGGGACTATAACATATGGTTCAATTTTATTTCAATAATTCGCTTGAGCGTAGGTTCCTTGTCACGTATAAGCGGGGACTCGAAACCACGCCAGTTGACTCAATGACAACGTGCACACATTAACCATACGGCCACCCAACTCCCAGGAACTTCAGGAAAGCGCTTGTTAATTAATTAGGATGTTGAGCTCAGTTCTTGAAATTTTGAACAAAACAGCCAACAAAGAAATGAAATTAAATGGTGTTTAACGTCCTACTTTTCTGCTCCGATTGGGCTAATGAAACGGGCATACGCCATACAGTATGTTATGAGGGAAATTTTGTTCGGACAGAGGCGCTACGACCCACTCTTACATCTAATTCCAACTGCCAAGGGATCTTTTACGTGCGCGACAAATGTGTACACGGGGCCATCAGTGTATTTAGTCTTTGTGTGTGTGTGGCACACGAGTATATAAACGGAGTTGAACCACATTACAAAATAGCATACTAATTTTTAGATATGACGGGTATTTAGGGCAGAGAGCCAGTTGTCTGTGTGTAGTATGTAAGCTGTAACATGGGGTTTAAGGCTACATGTGACCTTTAAAACCAGTTATAGAATATTCATGGTCACTTATGTCTATTTGAACAATATTCATCTACAATAACCATAGCCTAGGGTAACAGTTGTAGGCTAGTACGGAAGTTATAGTGTCGTGTTAATAAAATGGGGTTGAAGGTCATACTGTTCTGCTTCAACTGGACTAATGAAGACGGGCATGAGTGAAAATTTTGCCCGGACAGCGGCACTACCGCTTATACTCTTAACTCTTATATCGAATTCCATATGCCAAGTGTTCTTTTGCCCTCCGTCCTGCACCACTAACAGGGGCGGATCTAGGAATTTTGAAAAGGGGGGGGGGGCGCAAAATAAGGGCACTGACTACGGAGACGGGGCACGCCGCTGAGAGGGTTTTTTTTTTTTGGGGGGGGGGGGGGTCCCCAAGAAAATTATCCGTCATTTCCGTGCATCTGTAGCCATTCCAAGAGCTATTTGGCTGATATTTTCGTCATAGTAAACGTTCGGAAATCGTTGAAAAAGAGCCTTAAAATCGAACAAAAAAGCCAGGTGGACATGCGACTCGAAAATTGTCAAGGCGAGCGAGGCATTATGATGGGAAAAAAGACGAATCTATTCCCTGGCCACTTCACTATTTAAGCCTTGTAACTTGTACTGTGTACTGTCCACACATGAAACAATGCTACATCAAGTTGCACACATGCACGTCGGTGATGGGCATGAGTGTATACGCCGCCGATTCCACAAGATGCTATCATTGATGTCTGTCTATAGTCACTGTATAGGATTAGGGCACCGTCAGCTTAACAACAAGAATTCGTTTGAAAATGGAAGCATTAATTAGACCAGACTGGTGTGTTTGAGTCGATGATTTGGGATCCCTGCAACGGGTTGGGAACGGACATATTTGGGTCCGAGAAAAGGCACTTTCAGCAGTAAAAAAGGGCACTGTCGAAAATTAGGGGGGGGGGGGCGCCTCTCGCCTCCTCCCCTTGGATCCGCCTCTGACTGACAAGAGGGGGGGGGGGCAGCGAAAAATCCCAATAAACTTTCTAGGCCAACACAGGGATCAAACAGGGGACTTCCAGCTTAGCAAGCCAACGTGTTACTCGCTGAGCCACCGTTTTTTCTCTATAGTGTCGTACAAGCTAGAACTGTGGGTGACGCAATTTAGATCCGACGTCATAATAATTATTGCCGAGTGAAGGACGTAGTTCTATACATATTATATCAGAGCAACCTGACATGTATGGAAGGGT